CATTGTGATCAGCCATCTTAGAAAAAGCAGCTGCAGACAGACAGAGAGTCATCTTACATCAAGTAATAGACAAAACCAAGACAGAGCAGTCACTAGCCAGTTTAAGAGACATCGTCATTAAAGGACACTAAAGACAACCAGATAGCTACAAGATAAGCCTGAGAAGAGCTCCAAATTCCATGCCGTACAGCATGGAATTCCAGTCCTGTTCCAAACACGTGATAACCCCCAAATATGATGTAAACCTTTCAGCCATCTACATGAAGACCAAAAAGACCATTTCACTAATCTTAAATTATGATGCCAAGGCACACAGAACTTAGGTGATATCTTGCTGAGGTGGATGAATAACGCCTCACACAGCTCAAGTCATTCACAGAAATGAATTCCTTAGGAGAGGCTTCTCCACCAGAGAACCTTCCTGTTCTGTAACCGTGCAAATTCCCACTCACAATCCTCACAATCTCAGCTTCCACTCCCTTTCCATGTACAGGTTTCTCTGCCAGTCTTTCTAAAAAACAGCAACTTAAGCAAGAACCTTGCACGTCAAAACCCCAGGTTTTCTGCTTCCTGCAGATAATCTGTCCTCATCATTCCTGTGCTGAAGCAGTAACTACACCACAAACATTTTTTGGAGTTACCTGGACATTGCTTGTACATTTGCTGACGCAGAGCCAAGATACAGATGAAACAACAGAACTTTCTGGTATTACTGAGGCTGGAACTAAGCTCTTCAATAAACGAGTATTCACTGTATCAGCTGGAAAACAAACATTTTAAAATTGGATGCTGCTCACAAACCAGGTTCTTTGACACGGTTTGGAAGTTCAGGTTAAAATCCCCTCTGGACAAGATTATTCAGAGCTTTATTGCTTACAGGAACAGCACACAAGAAACCAGTAGGGACTTATCTAAAAAATATGAGAAATATTTCTTTCCAGGTTAAAGAAAATGGCATATGTATTATTCCAGTACTGAAATAGCCTTTAGGCTCTTGGCAAGACAACCAACAGTAACACAAATTTATGGTAATATTAACAACCAATTACTTCAACAAATGAGCATGTGATTATCAGCCAAATATTGGCAGATTAGTGTCTTGGAGATAAGCCAACAAATTTAAACCAAGAAAAGAATTGAATTGCTTGTATAACGGGGAAAGAATCCTGTAATATCCTCTTAGATTAGAGGGAGTGAAAGGTTTATTTTTTTTTAATTGAATATTTCATTAGTTTCAAAATTTAGGTGATGGCCACCATTTCAAAGAAAGCAGCATGAACTGATTGCTAGTATGACACTAATTTTATCAAGTTTCACAATACAACTATGACAGTTTGTTCAATTATTTTGATGCTGGGAAGAAGAAACCTATGGAAATAGTTACAAGAAGGAAAAAAATATAATGGTTGCTAAGGACACAGTTCAAGCGTTTAAAGATCTGCAATTAAGAACGAAGGAAATAAGCTTTTTTGAAAAGCTTTGTAACAAGCCATAACATTCTTCCCTATATCACTCACCTGTAACAAGAACTGAAGTTATTTTTAGCATGAACTCAGTTTACACTGGAGCATGCCAGAAAGATTAATTTTATGTGAAATTGCCTAACAATACAGTTGCCATAAACACATTATCTCAAGCAGGTTTGATTAGAGGGAAAGGAGAAGTTCACAGAAGACTTGTTAGCAGTAAGCATTTTACCAAGTTTGCCACTGAGTGCCACGGTTAGTAACGTATCAAACACTTCAGGGGGTAACCCTCTTTCCAGGCCAATGCTTTCCACAGTAGACAAATGTTTCTGCAAACCTTCACTCTTTTTCAATGAAACCCGGTCTTGAACTAGGGGAAAAAAAATAGATGACAGTGATGAAACAACTTGTGAACTGATACTGAATTATTTTAAACTTCTCTGAACTTTTCCCATACATAGTCCATCTTTTTGGGTTCTTTACATAGCAATAGAAAGCAGAAAAGCTTTCAAGACACTAAGGAGTTACCACAAAGCTCAGACATTAGAGGAGAGAAAACGGCAGGTGAAATTTGATTTTTTATTGTTAAAGATATTGATAATCCTTTCAAACCTAGTTCGTTAACCTTAAAACTGTCCTCTTACCTTTCTCAAAGAATTTCACAGCTTGCTCAAGGGAGTTGTGCTTGCTGTCATCACTTGGAGACTGCTGATTTTGTACAGTTTTTTCAGTGTTAATACTCCCTTCTTTTCGCCATGCAGAGAGATCGGTTTGATTGCTATCGTGAACACGGAGAGGCTGCTTTGAGTGCTTAGAACTCTGTCTTCGCTGCATTTTTTTCAGACTGCCAGCTGATACTGGAGAATTTCATTCATTTGTCATGTGAGTTCCAGTCCCTCATTACAATGATGGAAGAAAATAGATGACCCTCCAATTGATGAAGAACATCAGAGAGACAGTTTCCTGCAAAAGAAAAAAATTACTTTTCTGACAAACAGACTTTAGGCAACATAAGGCAACAGAGTAACTTCACAGCAAGTCATTTACAGCCGTCTGCCCCTAAACAATCAGACAATATGCTCAGAAGCTGTGCATACAGTTGTGCTATGAATTGAGAAATTCAATTCTCTCTTACATTAAAAAAGGGAAGAAAAAAAAATCAAAAGTAAGAACCAAAACCAACTCCTTTCAAAATAAAACTTGTCTGATAAAATTTTATATAGTATTTTGATCCAAATGAACATAACCAGAAAGCCAACAGTACGCAATCAACAATTTCCTTTGCTGTCTATTTTATTCTTTATCAGTTCTGTTACTTGTGCTGTATACATCAATGTAATCAGTCAACAGGTCACAATTTTATGTGGGGGTAATGCTCAGATTTTACAGGACCATAAAAACAGTTTTCTTCCTATTTTACAGAGTTAGATTCCTATATAATCTATTTCTACCTAGTAGCTAAGATTTAAAATATATGTTTTGGTAAATTTCCACGTGAAGCACAAGAGCTACTAATACTGTCAAGCTGCCTAGCCCTGGCTGAAACACAGTCATGAGAAGTGACACTTTCTCTGCGTGTTAGAGAAATCAAACTTCTACCCCCAAAACGTGAAATGTTGCTACAAGTTCCTGGGTTTTGCAGAGTGCACGTGCATACCCCTGAACTGCTGGAGCAATTGTTTTTGCTTCCCAGCTTTCCCATCGCAAGAAAACAGAAAGATTTTCAGCTCATGCTCTCACTTACTCAAGACGTTAGAACCTTTCCTGTTTCCCTTTAGCTTTGTTTGACATAAACTTCTGTGACCAGTACAGCAAAACCAAATTTCTGGCTAGCTACGTTAAGATCTCTTCTGCAGTACCATGGTACTTACCGAGGCACACACAACGCTTACAAATAAAACCTACCAGCTCCAGCAGAGCTGTGTAGGTTCAGGTGACACCCCCAAGGCAATCACAGCTCGCAGAGATGCAGGGAGGTGACAGACACTAACCGAGATGTTCTGAAGCAGCGAAAGCAGCTGGTGGTGACCTTACCCCGAGTGTCCCGGCACCCTGCTTGCACCCCGAGCCACGGATTGGGACTGAGGCCTGAGCTAACAGGCGCCAGCTGCCACACGCAGCCCCCTCACAACGCCCTTCCCCTCACGCAGCAGAGGGGCCGGGGAGGAAGCAGGACGCCACCAGAGCCCACAACAACCCGACAGGGCCTTTCCGCAGCACCCCCGGAGGCCGGGCCCGCTGGGGGAGAAGCGGGTGCAGGCCTCAGGGCCCGGCTGCCAGGGCTGCAGCCCCCCGGTTGCCATGGCTACGGCCCCCCGCCGCCATTACCTGCCGCCCGCTCCAACCGCCCGCAGTTCAAACCTCCGCGCCGCATCCCGCGCATGCGCGCCGCCGCCCGCGCCCTCCCCTCCGCCTGGCGGCTCTGAGCATGCGCAGTGGCCCCGCCCGGGCTGCGTGCGCCGCGGGCCGTTGGAGGGCGGGAGGGGGCTGAGGGGGGGGGTGATGGCGGCCGGCGCCTCAGGGAGGCCCCGCGCCTCCAGGCAGCCCCCTGCTGCCCTCCCTCAGCCACCTGCGGCTGGAGGGGCTGGCACGGGAGGGCCCCTGGTGGGGGAGCCGTGGGATGAGACCGGCTGGAGGGAGAGTGGGGGCTTGGAGAAAAAGAGCTCTGAAAAGAAGGGAGAAAAGCGCAGGGGAAAAATTAAAAATAAAATGTATTAGCCTAATGTGTTATGGAAGGATTCAGTTAGCTCCTGCCACCTCACTGCCTCCAGCAAGCAAAGATGAGTGTCAAAAATAGCTTGGTAATGCTGGGGGTCAGCGATGGAGGTCAACCCAATACAGATATTCTTAATATCTCTCTATATAATAATATATAAATATAATACAACACAGAATTCTTGGATGCACAATGTGTAGCTGCTGCTGTGGGCAGTAATCCATACTGCTGCAATAAAGAAAGGTGGACATGGGGATGTTCTTCAGAATTCCCTTACAGTCTGCAGCTGGAGTACTTACAGGGATGGTCTCTGCTGTACCAAATATTCTACAGTTATTTCATTATTATGGCAACCATATGACTTCTGGTAAAGGAAGTACAAAAGACTAATGCTTGTTTCCAAAATTTTAGGGAATTGGAGATAAGACACACATGGGAATGGTAGCTGGCCACAAGGTTGCTACGATACAGTTTGTGAGGACTCTACAAAACTACAGTATCAGAACTGGATATACCGCATGTTAGCATCTATCATCAGTTTTCGCAGTGATACAGTACTGACATCTTACTGAGGTTTTGGTTATCTTATCTCATCACCACATTGTACTGAAGCAAAAATTTATCTGAGACTGCCTAAAGAAAATTTTCAAATGCTTGCAGTTATCACTGTGTGGCCCAATGTTGTTCAGATGGCTTCAATCCTGCATCACCTTGTCTTTCTCTGACATTCCTCTAACATGATTCTGCCTGCCTTTAGGCTTTTTCTGTATTAGAGCATAGGAAAAAAAAAAAAAAAGAAATTTGTTTCTATCACAACATTTTTCTCCAAATTTCAAAAAGTTTATTTTCATGAATAATTAAGAAAATAAGGAAAAACTCAAAACAGACAAACATCAAGAAAAACAAACAAAACTCAGAGGTAAAACACACTTCTCATGACACTCCATAAGATTTCAGATATAACACAGGGATTCAGGCTCTTGTGAGAGGACTTCCCCCAGCTCACTGAAGCTGTATGTGAGATGCACCATGAGGTACCTGGGCAGGTTCAAACCTTCATCATTAGCAATAACCAGTGATTCCATGAATTTGCAGCAGTTGTGAAAAAGGATTTTTTTTTCTTGAAAGAAAAGAGGTAGTGTGATGCTTTTTGCCAGCAGCAGACAACTATTTCGAAATATGGGGGTTCATTACCAGACTAAACACAATTCTTCAGGCAGTTTTGCTTCCCATCCCCTCAGCAGGGATCCTTACTCTCTGCTGAGGGGTAGAGATACCATTGCTTCAAAATGGGAAAAAAAATTGCATTAGCAGGCCATTATCCCAGTTTTAAAGCCTCTGCAAAACTTGTAACCCAGGAAGATGCAAGTAGTGTATCACAGTTTTCCCTGCATAACCAGTCCACCAAACAGACCGGTCACAGAGGCAGCAACAGCTAAGGGACCCTCCCTCAAATACAAGTAGTATTATGCTCAGTAGGGTCCTTTCTTCACCTGACTATGCAAAAAAAAAACCAAAACTCTAGGAGGTGGGCTGCACAAGGTCACTCTGGTGATGTTCTTTTCTACCCAGCAGCTGTTGCAGAGGCTGCAACGCAGCAGAAATGCATCCAGCTGGGGTGAAACTGCCTTTCGGATGTGGGTCTTGTGCTCAGGGACTAATCCCCCTGCTGCAAGAGTGCCGAGCTAACATGACAAACTGCCCGAGTCTTTGCCCACACTCTGGTTTTGCAGCTCCTGTGAGGAGACCAGTGCTAATTCCAGCCAGGTGCTATCTGCCTCCAAACTGTCCTGTTTAAAGCTAGCTCGTGTTTTCCTATGTTACAGGGAAGCAGCAAAAGCAAGACTACAGTGTAGACGTACCACATGTCTCTCAGACCCCACATGAAACTTTATTTAGACAGCCAAAAAAATATAAATAGTTAAATAAAAACAAAACGACAAAATAAAACACCAAATTTTCTGGGTGCTTTTGGAGAGAGCTGCCTCGAGGGTCCGTATTCCTCAAACGCACCTAACTAGGATACCTTCACTTTGCCTTTCTCAGGAGCCGCCTCATGGATGAGTGGCTGCTCATCCCCATTTACCGACAGGATCCTCTTTTCTGGGGGCTGCTCCTCAGGCTGGCGGGCAATCAGCAGGCGACAGGTGAGCAGGATCCCAAAGACCAGGGCGTGGGCGTAACGCTTGAGTGGATCCCCCACTAGCTGGTGGAAGAAGAGCACAGCCAGCACGAGCAGGAGCAGCAGAAAGTTGGCCACGTCTTTGGGGCGACCAGGCACCAGTGTCATGACAATGCCACACGCCACTTCCAGGGCACCAATGCTCTTGCGGAGAAGGATGGAGCTGACTCCCATCTTCTTCAGCATGGGAAGGGCCCGCACGTAGCTTTTGTAGGCTCGTTTCTGAAATCAAGCAGTAATAGCATAGAATATGACAATGTAAGAAGGCAAACGTTACTGTCACTGAAACCAATAAACGTGTAATATGTTATGAAGATCGCTTCAATCCTCATAGACCCCTCTGGCATGACACCCAATCTGTACTCCTAAAGCTGCTGTTAGAGATATTAACACACCATCAACCTGCAATTCCCCCTTTACAAGCTATTATCTCCTTGCTGGAAGACAATTCTGCAATCTAGCACCCATCTTTTGAGCAATGGCCAAGCCAAGTGTACCTTTTCCTCTCTAAAATTAACAATGCAGAATCACACTGTTAAAATAATAATTAAAAAGTTCCTCTCTAAGAGTAGCATGCCCTTTATAATTAAATAATACACCTAGTCCTTGCAAAGCCAAAGCACGGAAGGTAGAAACTGAAGTCTCTTTCCATCTCAAAACAATTTAGATATACCCCGGGGTTGATGAGCAGTACAATCATAGCATGGGACAATATATCAAAGCTGAGATTTACCAACCCTACTCCTGTCCTTACATACCTTTATGAACCTTTCTTTCCTCAGAAAAAGCAAGTAGACATCTGACATCCTTGCTCTCTGGTTTATGCTGGATTTAGAAGCAATGTAAGTTACAAAACAGCCTCCTTACATAGCTGCCTCCTTGTTTCAGGGAAGAAAACCCTGTCCTTACATCAAGCTCTTGCATTTGAGAGTTAGGTATAGGTAGGTTTGGGGTTTTTGGTGGTGGTTTCTTTCCTTTTTCAGTCAAGTGTTGCCTTTTTTCTTTTATATTATAATAAAGCTCCTAGTTATTGGAATGTCTGAAATTATTTCCATCTACACATGAGCATATTATCTCTGCAGGTATTCTTGCCCTTGTGTTCCCTAAGCAAGGAGAGGGAAATGGAAACCAAATCTCACACACAGAGTCGTTCTGCTCTCACAGGCACTAATCAGACTGCAGATTGACTTCCCGTGTAATTCTGGAAACCTGCGTTATGGGCACACGGAACTTTCCCACTTCCTTGTAAATTTTGCTCCTTCCTTCTAAGAAAAGCTGATGACACCTCACAGGTAGTCAAAGAGTCATTTTTGCTACTGAAAATCCCATGACATGTTTATACCAAGTATGTGCATTGTAAGGATGCGCTCTAGACCTCCAGTGAATAAAAGCTCTCCTCAAAGCAGCAGTTTTTAACCAAATGCATAGGACACAGCTTTATAAAGAAACGTAACTAGTAGTGTGCCCTACAGCACTCTGGTATTCCAAGTGTTTTAATACACAAAGTAGCATGCATGCTTTTTTTGCTGAATGAAAAAAAATCCCTGCAAGTTTGGTGTTGTGGGTAGATAACAGAGGTGCTCTGTTTGCTTGGGGCGAGATAAGATAACACTCAGCGATTGGTGAGATCAAGCTTTCTCTCACTGTCTCCATTATGCTACAGCCTACCCTGGTGTGCAGCACAGTGAAAACATAACCTAACGAGCTGTGGATGCGGTACAACATCAGGTATTGGGAATGATGTTGCTGTGCCTCTGCTTTTTTCCATAAAAGATGGAAATCACCCCTACCTCAAGGCCTGATTCTTGGCAAAGCAGACAGGGAGCACGGAGACGCAAAACGCTACACAGAGGATTCTGCAATGCTCCTCAAGCCTCGGCGCTTTTTTCTTTAGCTTACGTAGCTAAAGAAGCTCATAGCTAAGAAGCTCGGGAGCTCTGTTTTCTGGACATTTTGTCCCCTCACCTCTCGCACCCGGACCGCTTTGCGGTTCTCCTGCCAGCCCCCCGTGGTCACCACAACCCAGATGGATGCCATTTGCCAGCAAGGCACAGCAGGCGGGCAGGTGCAGCGGCAGGAGAGGGCAGAATGTGCTGGAAACTTCCATCCCCATCCCTTACGGGCCCGAGAACCCTCACAATAAATACCCAACACGAATGGAGGGGGCAGGAGAATCACCAGGGGGGGACAGGACGCGGCATCGCTGAGGGAGCGAGGGGGTGACGGACACCCCCATGAGGGCTCCATCCCCCTCCGCGCCCCTCACGGCCCCGAACCCCGCGGCTGGAGGCTTCTCCCCTCCTCCGTCCTCACCATCTCGTTGTAGGCGTCCCTGCTGAGGCGCGGGGTGAGCTTGATGGTCCCCATGAAGACGAAGAAGAGCCCCAGGGCCACCGAGAGGGCGACGATGGTGATGGTGCGCGGCGACGCCATCGAGCCGCCCCTCAGCGAGGCCTCCTGGCTCCGGCTGCCGGCCCGGGAGGGAGGCAGCGGGTGACCATGGAGGGCGAGGAGGAGGAGGAGGAGGAGGAGGAGGGGGATGAAGGCTGCGGAGGCAGCGCCGCTGACAGCCGGGAGGACGCGGCCTCCTCCGCCCAGCGCCGCCGGGTCCTAGCGCCCGCCCGGCCTCAGCCCCTGCTGCAGAGCCTTCGCCTCTTCATCCCCCCCCTCCTCTGGCCTCTGTTTCGGGTAAAAACGGGGCTGGAACCACACAAATCCGTCCAGCTGTGAGCCGACAAAACCATGCTGGAAAGGTGCACCCCCCCGTCACTCAGAACGGGAGGCAGTCGGTGTGAAAAGCCTCAGGCAGTAGAAGGGGAAGGGTGAGGCTCCCTGTGCCCCCCAGGGATCTCCCCCTCACCTCTGCACCCCGTCTGCTGCAAGAAGCCCCCCACACCCCAGCCCCATATACTTTAAGCCCCCAGGGCCTAAAAACTGACTGGTGGTGGCTGGCGTAGTTCCAGGCTTACGGCTTCTTAGCACCCGCATTACGCGGCTGTGAAAAATGCCTGGGGTTAGAGCACTTCAGGACAGGCAGCTCTTCCTCTTTCCTCAGGAGTTTGGCCCCTTTATTCACCTTTATTCAGTGGAACTTCAACAGAACACAAAATTAAAAAAAAAAAAAAAGCCCCTAAAGCAAGGCGGAGTTCCAGAGTTCACAAAATGAGGAACTCTGCTGACCAAGACCTACCTCCAGCTTGCAGCAGCTTCATTTTTTGCAGACCTGGAGAGAATTTCATGCAGCACTGAGGTTTATAGCTTGCCAGCCAATGAGAATAGCATGACATAAAAAAATATACCTTGTATTATTTATTTATTTATCTATCACAGAGCAACATGATGAGAAAACTTCTTATTGCTGACTTTTTTTACAGGGCCATTCATATTTCGGTATCAGCAAGTGTTAGCAGGGACAACGAAAGTGGCTATGGAAGAAGAGACACTTAAATCTGTTCTTTTTTTTCCCATTTCATTTTATAGAAATATATCTAACTTGTCTATGTGACTGACAGGGATTCAGTATTACTACTGAAGTTCATACAGGAAATATCCCCCCATCCCCACCACAGTCAACATTCTCCCAGCAAAGTGTGAAGATTTAATCAGCGTCCCAGAACGGTTTGAAGGGGAGGGAAGGCTGATGAAATGCTACAGACAACCTTTTCACCCCAGAAATCTGAGTGCTTCCATACAGAACAGAAAAGTTAGGCAACTCAAGAGCAAGAAGAAAATAATTTATTTCTTGAAAGTTGTATAAAAATAAATTAAAAACATAACTACATCCACTCCAGCCTTAAGGACATTAGGAGGTTGCTTTCCAAGCTCTCTGAGCTTGCATACCTGCCTCCTTGTCAGCGGGAGAACAGCAGCACCAGCTCACAATGAACAGTATGAGGAAACAGGTCAAAAGGTATGGCCAACACAGGGGCAAATGGCTCTCCGACCAGCTTCTTCCCTGGGTCAGGGGGACAGCACAGCCTGTAGAAAGCAGTTGTGTTTGAAGGGCATCCTGTAGACCAGTAGCAGAAGCCTTCCCACTGTCATCATCAGCACAACAGCACAGAGGATGCATTAAGGAGGTATCTTTTGTTTGGCTAACATCCATCTGCAGATGACACTGACCAAGATCTAGAACCACCTACACGGAATCAGAAACCAGCCCTGGAAACACTCTGGGCAAGCTGAAAGCTCGGTGGGCAGGCTTAAGGCTTTGATTCTCACAAGCCATCCAGGCTAAAAAGACAATACCGTTAGGAAATAATCCTCAATTTTGCACCTGCCTTTGTCGGTTACCTATTATCATCTCCAAGTGGGCCTGCCCAGTTAAGATCTTAACTAGGTGGTTAACACCTAGTTAAGAGGGTGACTGCTAATCCTAATACCAGACTGCTTGCTGGCTAGGGGTCCACCTTCCAGCAGTGAACCCAGAGGACTCAGTATTTCACACCCTGACACTGTTTTGTTGGGGAGGGGTTGTGCACAATGCAGATGTGTTGTAACAGCATTATTTTCTACCCCTTAACGATGCACAAAAGCATCCTGCTGGCTCATAAAGCCAAAGGAATACCCGCTGTCTCAAACCAATGAGTGCAGCTTGCAGGTACACCCAAGGTAGAACAGAAGCACGAACCGCCTCTGATCATGCATTGACTAGACCTGGATCCCACCTGCAGAAGTAACCCAGTGAAATTCAGTCACAACAAAAACTTTCCTGAGCTACGGCCAGTTATTTGTCCTTGTCCTCAGGGCACACAATAGTGTCTATCACCAACGTCAGTGGAAAGGAAGAGAGGAAGGTGCTCACTCAAGAAAATTCCTCATGGCTTCACCCTCTGGCTTGCAGGAGACGTAGAGCAGCCTTCGGATGGCCTTGCAGTTTCGGATGGCTCGCACAACCCTGTAATCTGCGACAGCAGACATCACATTTTCCCAACAATCTACACCTCAGCGAATTCTCCTGCTGAGCAAGCATCACAGAATTGTACTGAACTGCAGGGAAAAGAGAATCTATGCATTTTGCCATGTCCTGTCTCAGACACAAGGTCTTAGCAGGCTGGGGACGTGAACCACACTGCTAATGCCTCAGCTGATTCTGGCAGGGTAGAACAGTGGGAAAAGTTCTCTCTCATCCTTAATTCTGCTGAGAAACAGAGGAACAATTGTCACTCAGTCAGGCAGAGGCATGAAAAACCTTCTACACACACGGAGACAGCATCTGGTCACTATGTCCAGTTTGAGACTTCCCAGTACACACTGATGCAAGCCCTGCAGAGGCCACTGATGTGGGTAGAAGGCTGGAGCACAGCACATACAACGAGCAGGGACAGCTGGCCTTTCTGCCTTATGCAAGGCCAGACTCTCCCCAAGTGCACAGGGAGCCCGGTGCGGTGCAGCACTGAGGCCAAGTTTGCTGACTGCGGGATTTCTTACCCCTTCTGAGACTGCTGGTTCTGCTTGCTGTCAGCAACAACGTGAGCAACTAGAGACAAACCAAGCAGAGGGCTTGGAGCCAGCATAACAGGTCCCACAAAACTTGTTCAAAATTCTCTTTTCCAGATTAAAATAAATAAAATTCTTACGAATCCCAGCTCGAGATGGGTTCACCACAGCAACAAGGGGTTGGGTATCTTCCCAAGAGGACAGCAGTTGTGGTAACACAGCCTCTGCCTTTCCACTGTGAAACTCACAGTTGGAAATTCCTGTGAAGCAAAAAGCAAACACGTGAACTAAGAACAGTCTCAGATGTTAGTTCTAACAAGATGTACCACTCTTTGCTGAGTGGACGGGGTTGTTCAGAACCCTCCCATCACTTTTGCTTCAGGTTTTTCAGCAGTTACTTTGAAACCTTCTGCAACAGTGAGTTTGAACTCACCATTAAACGCAGCATTCCACCTGGCGTCCTCTATTGCCTTCTCCACTATCTCGATACCGATAACCTTGGACACGTGGCGAGCCAGAGAGAGACCAATTGTGCCTGGAAATCCAGGATACAAAACCAATCTGTATTTCCATGCATAAAAATGAGCATTTATACAGGAGGGATAGTTTTCCGCATGCAAAATGCCAGCCCTGTCAGAGCCTGGCTTGCATGGCTGCTGCTCACCTGTCCCGCAGCAGACATCAAGGAGGACGGTGTCTCCATCAGCCTGACTCAGCTCCCCAACTGCCCGGTACAGAGTTTCTGCTCCACTTGTGTTCACTTGGAAAAAGGCATCTGGAGAGATGCGAAATTTCAGGTCGAGCAAATCTTCAAAGATGTGTGGCTCTCCATAAAGGAGCTGGAAGGGTGACTGCTCATGGGAACAGCGCGTCATGGTGCTAGAAGAACATATATGTATAAAACAAAGACCTTGTTAGGAGGCAGTGTTTGCAAAGAGGTAGCTGACTGCCATTGGCATTCCTGGTGTGTTTGTTGGGTTTTATTTCAAATAAGCATTTTAAGCCCATGGAAAGAATTTTGATTCTTTGTAATGAATATTTAACTTGCACAACCTATAATAATAGGATTAAAATGACTTCGTACAAGGCAGTAGCCCTAGAATGTATTCTTGCTTTTGCTGCTAACATGATTTACTGTCTTGGGAAAGTCACTTTATTTTTTTCCTGTAGTTTCCCAGGATCTAAATTCCCATTAGGTAGAACCATACTGTATTAAAGTATTTCAGAAGCTTCACGATAAACACAAGATGTGACTACCTTAAAATCATGTCTGCAAGAGACATCCAAACATCTGCCATTCTCTTGAAGCAACTCGAGTTTCATCAGAGAGGGGTGAGAAAAAGGAAAAAGCTTTGTTTTCAGTCTTCCCCATGGCCTTTCCTCCACACCACAGTGCAATTTTTACAAGTGTCAGCACATATACCTCTCTTGGAAGTAAAGTGAAGTCAAGGCACATCCTGCTCCAGGTCCAGAAGCGAAGAACTCCTTAAGCAATGCTTTCTGAGTAGCCAGAGCCTCCTGTTAAGAGAGAGAAAGGAAAAGTGGAGTGTTTGGGTAATCTGATCAGGCACTTTTCCCTAGCAATACACCCAGCAAGCTCCAAAAGTGTACCAATAGCCTGGCACCATCACAACCCTGTGCAAGGCTGAACTGGGGTTTTAGGGATCTTAGACAGGTACTACAATTATTTCCTTTGTGTCATGTGCCCTGTCACGCTGGAGGACCCTGACACTGACTTCTCTCACTCAGTATCAGATTTGTCCAGGGGCCTGTGAATACAAAACTGCCTTGCATTAGCTTTTTATGCAGGTGAAGTGAGCCAGCGTTAGCTGCCTTCAAAGCCACAGGGCTTTGAAATCTTCTGTGTAAAAGGCTGCACTTCACTGACATCTCCAGTCAGGCAATTAACAGGACCAGATCCCCAAGGTGCTTGTTCTAGGGGCCTGTTCTCCTCACACTCACCTGGCCCAGCTGCTGGGGGTGGAAGGTGACGATAGCCATGGTGTGGCCGTGGCTGGTGGTGCGTACCACAAGCTCCCGCCAGTGTCCACCTTCGTGGAAGAGAATGCAGGAGTCCAGGGGGGAGCGACGGATGAACTCCTCGTAGCACTGAGAAGAGGGGAGAGGGAGCCCATAGTACGGTAAGGAAAACTGCCCTCATCTTAGCATGATGCTGTGCACCCCGAACAGACGACATGTTCCCCCAGCATCAACTGTTTTTTCCTACTTCATTTAAATATCAAGTAAAAGCTCCTTCCAAGTTCTGGAAAAATACGGTATTTTGATGATTTGTGATTTTTGTGTGTTTTACTAGATTTGCAGGAATTAATTAGGACTTAACTATTAACTTCACCCTTGGGGACAGTTTCGAGGTTCCAACATTAAGTCTTAAAAAATGCCAGTCCATCAGCCAGAGTCAGGCCTGAAAATCTTCAGAACATCAAAACGGACTTGAAAACCCAGCATAACTATAAATATGATGTTCTCCCAAGTAAGAGTTATGGCACTCTTTCTATTCCCCAGTCAAGAGACAGACAGGACTTTTTTTTTTTTTTTTTTTTTTTTTTTTTACCTGGGCTACGTGCTTGTGGTTTGAGGGTATATTCTTCACATGGTCAGCTCTCACACAGACAATATTTCTTGCTGGAAAGAGAGACAGGTATTTAATTGTTTCGTTTCAGGGTACAGTAAAACAGCGTAGCATCTGACGTGACAAGCTGTAGAAAAGTCATTCCTCTGACTTGTCCCATCATGCAAAAAAAAAAAAAAATAGAAAGAAAAAAAGAAAAAAGGTATTTAAGTGCCCCACTAGCCCCTGTGATATTCAAGTAACCACATTCTGTGGGACCTGTCAGAATGCTTTGCTGCCTGTAGAGGTGCACAAACACCCACTCTCTCCCTGGTCAGCACAGGCTTCTGGAGCTGGCTGAAAATGCAGGAACAGCAAATTAAAAAGAAGGTAAATCTCCAGGGGGCTGCTACCAGAGCTGTTTTGTTTACTGTTGTATTTAGTAAATTACAAACTGGCATTTATTAAGAAGGTAACGAACTGAGGCTTTAAAATTGCTGCTCCAGATTTAATGGTGTTTCTGCTGGCATCCCATGGGATTCAGGCACTTTGCTGCACAGCTCAGGTGGGAGCTGTTCCAGCAGAGCACTGCCCAGGACCCTGCACACCTGCAACGGGTCTCCAGCCAGTTCCTTGTCCTGCACTGACCTCTGCCAGTTCCCACGTACAATCCCACAGTTTTGGGGTTTCCATCTGGTCCTCGGTTCACAGAGAAAGTAGATTTGTTTCGGTAGCCGTTAATGACAGGCTAAGGGAGAAAAGAAATAAATAAAGCCTTGTATTACAGGAAAAAGGTAATGAGGAAAGCCAAAACCCAGTCTGGATGCTCTGCTGGTAACACAGGAAGATAAACACAAGTGCGGAAAGCTCATTAACCCAGTGTGCGCATGAGACCCCAAAACTTTACATTAGGAAGAAGAAAGTGTTCTCTAACAACAAAAGGTTTATCAGGGAGGACTAGGACATGAAAGAGTTCCTAACCACTGGGTTTGTTTCACTCTCTGGCAGGCAGAAAAGCAGAAAGTAGCAAGGGCCACAGAGCCTGCTCTGGGGACATTCTCTAGAACCAACTAATCCCCATTAAGTGCTTTTGTGAGCCAAGTGAGGGACTGCTGGGGGTTCAGGGCTGACTGGGATTCCCACAAGATACTCACTGAAGGGACTACAGGACGGAGAGGACAGCAGAGTTCACCAGGTTTCTGCACATCTACACCCAGCTCCTGCAGACGCGATGCCAGTGTCTGTAAAACCTTCCTCTGGTTTTCGTACTTGACCTGCAGAGGAGTCCTAAGCCAGAAACACTCTCACAGGACCACACAGCAGTGGGCAGCTGTTCATCACCCAGCCAATGCGAGGCAGGAGTGAATACTGTAATGAGACACAGCCCTAGAGGAACTCTACCTGTCTCATCACGCTGTACACTGCAGTTGCTTGGAGCAATGATAAGAAAGAGGAGGAGTTGCGTCTGTGGTCACCAAGCACAGGTCTGAAGCTCTTGGTCCAAAGGAACCATCAGAGGCCCTGAAGGCCCAGTTACCCAGCTGTCCTGCACTGGACAGGATCACTTTGTAAGTACACCCCTCCCGTGCTGCTCGTTATCACGTACACCACCCACAGAGAACCACGGAGCACCTTTTGTCCTTCAGAATAACTCCGGAAGGAAAGCAGTGGTAAATAGCAGTGGTAAATAGGGTCAGAACAGGCTGTAGCAGTAAGGGATGGATCCTGGGGGTATTTGCTCACGGGGGTGGTAGGGACAGCTGGGGCAACACAACAAAGAAAAGTCCACATCAGCACATCCTACCTGCAGCTGCTCCTGGTAGGGAAGTCTCCACAATGGTGTCACTGCGTCTGCTAACCTGGAAAGCACAACACAGCGCTAGTGCCTGGAGCTGCTCACCTCCTGAAACAACCAGGCTCATGTCTGCGTGAGGAACGAGACGTTCCTTACAGCACAGTGTGCCTGCTGCACATGGGCAGGAGCGTTCTGGTATGGGCTCTGCACCAGAACTGGCTGTGACCGCTCAAACTCCCTGAGCAGGGCACTCGTTGCTGGAAGGACCCAGGAACCACAACCACAGGACACTGAGCCTGGGGCAGGGGGCTGGCCAGCACTGCCTGGGTGCCCTGAGTAACCCTGGTGCCTTTCTGAGTCCCCTTCAGAGGACGGGGCCAGGAACAGCTCCATCTCCCTGGAGGTTTCCCCTAGAAGGGCAAGACGCTTTTCTCATCACTTGATGTCCTCCATCCCGCATCATCTGCTCACATTTCCAGCCACTGTTACATCTAACGCTGTGCTGGATTAAATTCAGCACAATAAAATGCAGGTTTATGTGAGTACAAAGGGAATTACAGCCCCTCCAGTGGCAGCTCAGGGATAAGCCTTGGAAATCAGTCACTACTTGTACCTAAAGCAAGGCAGGCACGACCAAAACATGCCAAATCTGCGTTTTAAAGGAACTCAGAGAATATAGGGTGAGGTGGATATAACCCAAATTATTGTAAAGGAAATCAGAGAATACAGGGTGAGGTAGGTATAATCCAAACTACTGTAAGCACCCAACAACTTCTTGCTCACTGAGCTCAGGAAAACTCACCCCACAGCTGGGTAAGCTACTTTTATTCCTCACTGGGATATTTTTGAGTGGGATTTCTCCCCCCCAGCTACTTCTCATGACCGTGCACCAAAGGGAGCAGCCCTACCTCTCTCCCCAGGAGGAGCCCGGCAGGCTGCAGCCCTCTCCAGCATTTCCCTTTCTCCATTTTACTGTTGTGCTCCCCGTCAGCAGGCTGCTGGGGAGCACGGGCTGCGTGCCCAGCCCCAGGCGCCGACACACGGGGCTCAGCACACACCACAGCCCCCTCGACATGGCGGCCCACCCCCTCCCTCCCACCATGCCCCGCGGCAGCGCCATGGAGCGGGCGGAGGGGGCGCGGCCGGGCCGTGGGGCCGCGGGTTCGATCCCCGGCTCCCGGTGCTTGGGGTCGCGGGTTCGATCCCCGCTCCCCGCTGTTGGGGCTGTGCACCCCCGTAACCTGCCCCGAGCTCTGTTTCAAGCCCCCAATTCAACCAGCAGCCCCGTGAGGGATGCACACACCGCATCAGGGCTGTGGCGGTGCCCTCTGCCCGCATCCCCGCATGGGCAGAGCAGCGTGCCCGGCTGCTGCCCCCCAAAAGGGCAGGGGGTGAGCAGCAGCCGCCCTGCCTCGAGCCCACCCGCCTGCCTCCAGCGCGGGGGGAACAGGATACGGCACAGGCCCCTGCTTCTCAGAAGTGAGCGCAGCCACCGCCAGCCCTGCGGCTTTCTCTAGTGCAGGCTGGAGGCTTCCGCCTGCTCCGCTGTCAGCCCGCACGCTTCCTCCTGCCTCCTGGACCCCAGGGCCCCCGTCTCCCTCCTGCACCCTCACCCGGCTCGTTCACCCCCCAGGGAAACCTGTGCTGAGCCCTTTCAGCCCTCTGCCCCCACCACGGGATGCTGGCGTTGTGCTCAGCGAGGGTTTCTGCTCTCTGTGCTGCTGCTCCCGCAGGGGAGGCGTCGAGGGATGGGGCTTCATCGGGGGAAACTGCCTGCAGGAAACTGGGGGGGGCCTTCCTGCAGGCTGTGTGGCACACACTTATGCTGGCCTTTCGATGCTGAGGCTTCTGAACCACGCAGCATTTCTGCTTTGACTCTTGTCAGCACTGATCGGAAAAGGAAAACAGTTTTGTGACATTTATGTGCAGCTTTCCACAGGAAGAGCTTGGCTTTCTGTATTTCCCCCCACCTCTGCTAAAAAAAAAATATCCTTTCCTCCTGCTCATAGTGTGCTCAGTAGCAGAGACAAAAGAGGACAGCGAGGGGTGTCCTCTGGTTCTTAAGGTGCTCCTTCAACAAAGCAAGAAAGCTACCATGAGGTTTGGGGTTGCTCACACCTTGACCAGAAAGACAAGAGTATTCAGTCTTTAAGAAAACATTTTATTCTCCCAAGTATTATTCAAGTATTTGAGTTCCACAGTTAATTAAAGAAGTTCACAGTCTGAATGAAAATCCTCCTGGCTTTTTATGGCCAGGGCTTTTCTACCTGAGGAGTGAGTGCAGCAGGCTGCTGCTCCAAGCCTGCAGTCTCCTAAGAATAAGTGAACAAACGTGGTGAGAGCACATAAAAGGAAAAAAATACAGAGAAGTATCTCTTCTGAAGGAAGGGAATGGATGCTGAAGACTAATCAAAGCAGGAAACCTTCCATATCCCTTGCAGGTTCCTTTTTCAGAGTCAATGCAAAATAGCAGTGCTTGCGCTGAGGATCTCAGAGGCAGAAGCTCACATTTGGGGCTCATGGGTCTCAGACGAGGCACAGGCACTTCTGTGCTGCATCCTCTCTGCCCATTGGACCCCTTCCTGTAGCAATGACCCTGGCATGGTCCAAGTGCCAAGCAGGTGCTGTGCTATGGCTGGGTGAGGCTGCCAGCCCTCTGTGAACGTGCTGGCGAAATGGGCAAAGAAACAGAGCTAAGGAAGCCTGGAGCTGCCTGTCTGAATCTCTAGAGAGGTGAGGCCGAGCCGGAGTTACACAGACTGTGGTAAGAAGAGAGTTACGGTTATCGTTGCCATGGTTTGGGGTTACAGGGTCTGCACGTTTCCTGGCATGCCTGTCACACAAGCTGCACACCGCTGGGCTCCGTCGCGGAGCAAACCATTCACCCGCTGCACAAATAATGCTCTGGTGAGTGTCTCCCTCACCTTTCCCTGATGCTTTTGCACTGCATTGTCTCCCCTCCCCTTCCCTTTTCTCGTCTCTCTGGTGTGGAGGTGATGTGTATTAACAAGGCTCGCAGCAGGTTCCTGTTCCCCTCCCTCCGCTCCCTCCACTGAAGGAGCCTGTCTCTGCCCAGGGCTCTGCCCCTGCCCTTCCCTGGGCTGGCTGGAGATCCTCGGCCAACACTGGCTCTCCTTTGGCTCTTCCAGCTTCATTCTTCCTAGGAAACGTCCTTCAGCTATGCCAGCAGAGCCGGGGCAGGAAAAAAGTAAGGTCCCAGTTATCCTTTCCTCTTTGCTTCCCCCCCCCCATGATGCTCTAACCCTGCTGGCGTGAGGGGAAGAAACATGAAGCAGTTCCAGTTTCTTCCTCCATCTTCCCAGCAAACCTTGTCCCATAAGCACCATCAGCCAGAGCAAATCCGTGATGAGAAAATCCCATGAGAAAAACCTCGGCCCCGCTGTAAAGCCTATATTTCTGTCACAGACCTGCTGTGGTTCAGCCTGCCCTGGTTCCTCATGAGAGCTCTCTTCAGCCTGCCCTGGAAGGTGCAGAGCACAGCCCTCCGGAAACTGCTGGACAAGAAAAAGAAGACAACTGGGTCAAGGCAGCTGTTGAGAGCTGAGATGCAGAGCACGAGCTCGTTAGCGAGGTGGAGGCCCTGCTTCCAGGGCAGGCTAGAAATGACCTCGACTTGCGCGAGGATGTAAGGGACGCGGACGATGTGGTAGGGGGTGAAGCATACGATGAAGATGATCAGGACTACAAAGGTCTTGGTGATGGCTCTCATGCTGGTCTTCTTGTTCAGCTGCTGAGCGTTCACCGAGGAGACTCTGTGGAGCTTGGCAAATATCTTGCCATAGAAGTAGAGGAAGAGCAGCAGCAGGATAAAGAAAATCACTACTGCGGTCATGTTAAAGGCTGCTGCCGTGGTGCTTTTGTTCCTGAAGTGGAAGCACTTATATTCACAGGGCCCTTCTTCTCTGGTCTCAAAAAAGAAAGGCATCATGAAGGCTAAGTGCACCAACCAAACCAACCCAGAGGCCGCGGTGCTGCAGGCCACGGTGTGGATCTTGAATTTCTGGAGGGGCCGGATGATCTTCAGGTAGCGGTCCAGGCTGATCAGGCTGAGGAAGGTGATGCTGACGTACATGTTGAGGTAGAAGAAGGCCCCGACCACGTTGCAGAAGATCCGGGGCTCGCTCTTGTTCTGAAAGGCGATGCGGAAGGGCAGGCAGAGGGAGAGCAAGAGGTCGGAGAGCGCCAGGTTCCTCATGTACACCGTGATGGAGGTCCTGCGCTGCGTGCCGCACGAGAACACCCAGAGCGCGAGGGTGTTGCTGAGCAGCCCGACGATGAAGATCAGCGAGTACATCACGGGGAGCGTGACGAAGAGGAACTCATCTTGGATCTGGGAGCAGGAGTTGCCCAGCCTGTGCTCAGTGACCTCGCTGGTGGGCAGGACAGTGCTCAGGGAGTCCATCACGAGCGCACGGGCCTGGAATGAAACACGCACGGGAGTTGGAACGGGCATTAGCACGAGCTGGAGGCCTGCAGGCATTGGGGTGTGTGGGTATTACAGCCCCCTGCGGTTCCTGGGTGCCCCAGGTCACCAAAACCACAACCTTGTGGTCCCCCAGGCTGTCACACAAAGGGAAAATGGGCTGGGGAGCTAGAAGCAGGCTCCTGCACAGGTCTGTCACTGGCTCTGGGCCAGGAGCAGGCACTGCTTTCTCCCCAGCCTGTAGGGAAATATCCACTGGGGATCTTAAACCCTGGTGGAAAAGCAGAGCCAGCCCCTGCCCCAGTAAGTGGCTCCTGTCCTCTCCTCACAGGCTGCTGGCCGGGCTTGTCTGTGGCGTGCTGGGCTACACAGCAACACCTGGCAGTCCTCTGCGGGGAAAAGCACCTCTCTGATTGCCCCCGAGCGACAAAATGGGTACAGCCAACATGAATTCAGGCCACAAGGCAGCACGATGCTCACAGGTATCTTGGCATTGCTAATGGGATCGGTCAGAGCTCCCCACCACCCCGCCGAGGCTGGGAAACCAGCCCCAGACTGCTGCTCTCACACCAGCCACAGGTACAGCAGAGCTCTGCTGAGCTTGTGCTGACCAGGGACCCAGTGCCAGGCGCTTGGACATCCTTTACCAGCACCTGCCTTGCTGGGACTGACCGCAGAAGTACCTCATGCGCCCGTGAGCTCGTGCATGTCCCGGTGTCATCCTCACCTTCCCACTTGCCATGACGCTGAGGGACAGCCACTACTTTCCTAACGCACTTCTCTGCTCCCTCCACACGACCCCAGCAGCTGACAGGTTTGTATGGAGGCAGCGGAGCTCTCTGGGTTTGCTGCCTGCGACTCGCAGCGCTTTAAAACCACCACGGCTCGAGTACCTCGCGTTTGTCGTTCCTCACTCGCCGCACAGCAACCGCCCTGCTCAGCCCCAGCTCTCCCACACCCCGACGGCTGGCTGCCTCGGTGCCCCGCTGCCCCCCGTGCTCGCAGCTGCAGCAGAGCTTCCCCAGTGCCTCACGGCGAGAAGAGAAGCCACCCGCAGCCACTCACCTTGCCTGGCGCTCCTCTGCTCCTACGGCTGCTGTGACGGAGGTTCCTGCTCTCACCGGCGCTCCTATAAGCCCTTGGCTGGTGACACACCTCCCACCCGTGACAAGCGTCACCCCGCTCTCCCTGCTCCTCCCACGCGGGGTTTTCCCCCCTTGAAGGGGTGAGGGGAGTGTTTTGGGGGGCTCCTGCTGGTGCGGGCTCTGCAACACACCCAGGTGCACCGGAGACAGACAGAAAGGGGCTTCTGGTGCTGGAGGGGTGAAAACGTCCCACAAAAGGGCTCTACGCACCTGCACCCACTGCCCTCAGGACCAGCAGGGATGCTGGGTGCCAGCGGAGGTGAGCACAGCACCACATCACCACCCACACATGTCAGGAGCAGGGGAGATGCCCCGAGCCCTCCTCCTACCCCTGCAGGGTCAGGATCTGTGGGCAGATGCTGAAATAAATGCCTCCAGATTCCGTTTTTTCCACCCTGGCACTGTCTGCGTGAAGTCTCCCACCCCAGCTGGGGTGGTGGGGACAGCCCATGGGGGCTGAGAGGTGAGGGTCCGGGCGGCTCGTCCCCCAGCCCTCACCCTGACACCGCTGCCACGTGCCCGCAGCAGGTCGTTCCGCAAAAGTTTCCACCCCACTGGATTTAGCTCGGCAAGCAGCGCGAAGTTCGCCCACGCAGATGCAAATAGCCATGGTGGGCAGGGGAGGAGGGGGCCGGGGATGGCAGTGGAAAGGAGAAATCCTCCCGTGAGCTTTCAGCAGCCGCTGCAGCGGGGTCTGGCTGGGGCCGAGAGAGCAAAGGGAGCGGTGCACGGCTCCCAGCCCCACAGCAGGCCCCAGCAGCACTGTCTTCCTGCAAATATTTCTGTCCCCCATCACCACACCGCTCCATGTGCCCCTCAGCCCTGCGCCTGCCTGGTGGGACCTGCTCTCAAGGTCTCTTCATCTACCACTCATGTTTCGGTGTGAGCCTCAAAGGGCAATGCACATAGCGGGTCCTGAGGGGTGACTCAGTCCTGAGGCTGCAGGCAGCCAAATGTCAGCCGTGCGGGGCTCCCACAGACCCACCACGAGGGATCCCCTCACTTTCAGACCCCTCAGCAGCACTTGAAGCCACCATACGGGAGTCACACGTGCACGTCTTGGGCAGGGACACGTGCGGAAAGCCTGTGGGCAGGCACTGCCAGGGCAAGCCACCCTCCTGCAGCGATGCCATTCCCCAGCCCAGCATCAATTTGCTTCTCAGCACCCCAAACTCTGGGAAACAGGAATGAAATGCAGTGTGATTTATCAGCTTGTGTGTGTGGGGCTTGGCTCCAAACCCCTCAGCTGTGCTCCTCGGACACCTGGCTGCAGCATCGTCCCTTCCCAACGGGGTGAAAGAAATGTGGTTGCCCTGGGCAGGAGCAGGACATGTGTCAGGAGGGCAGCTGGTTCCAGCCGTGGGAATCCCAGAGCCCGGAGAGTGGAAATCAGAGGCTGCTGAGCCCCAGGTTTCCCCACCTTGGTGCCTTGTGCTGCATCAGCCTCACCTCCAGCCCTCGCTGAGTAATTACGCAAGACGGAGCCAACCCAACCTGCCAGCCAGCGAGTGGAGAAATGACTGTAAAGCAGAGAGCCCGGGGATCCGAAAGGGCATTTCGACAGTATCAGCTCGCTGCTGTCAGTCACTGCAAGGCATACCTGCAGGTCACAGCACTCACGCAGGCAGGAAGCACATCCTCCATTCCTGCACAGCCCTTTGGAGTGACTGGGCATTTAAACATCCCCGCTCATCTTGTGGGGCTGGGAAATGCAGCCAGGTTCGAGCTGCAGCAAGAGGGGAAGGAGGCTGGCAGGGCGGAGGGGGCTGCTGGGATGGGGAAGGGAACCGGGGTCTGCGGTGCTGAGGGAGGGGTCGCCACGGCCCCTGCGTGGTTACAGGGTGCAGGAGGCACGGCGTGCACCTTCAGAGCGCAGCGAGGTGCTGGCAGCCTTGTGGGTTTGGTGGCCGGCAGGGGAGGCCGCAGGTCGTTATGTCACAGCGTCGTCACCTCGGGGAATTTTCGACTCACCCTGCAGCGCGGCAGAGGGATGAGTTACAGTATCCATCGCATTGCGGTTTCACTCGCCGGCTTTGCGGTGCGCCGGCTGAGCTGAGAGAGCGGGGTGAGAGCGGGAGGTTTCTTAGAACCCCGGGGTGTTTATTGCACGCGCCGTACGGGACGCCGAGCTCTCACTTCACTTTCAGGCAATGACACCTGCGCTGCCCTCGGGACGGGACCAATACCGGGGTGCCCACTGGGACTCGTGTCACGGCACCGTGCTCATGGGGACAGCAGAACACCGAGCGCCTGCTGCCATCGCACCTCCGTGACGCCACGTGCAGGGGCAGGGAGGCAGCAGGAGGGTACGGAGGGCTCCATGGGGCTCTCCCCGAGGGCAGCAGGGGCTGCGGGGCTGCCCTGGGGCCCGGGGGAGCCGCAGCGAGGAGCCCCGGGGGTCCCGGCCATGGGGTCCCGCCGGGTGCCCCCGGGCAGCGGGGCCGGGCTGCGCGCCCCGTCGGGGCTGGGGGGGGCTTCGGGGGCGGGGCCTCCTGGGGACACGCCCACAAAGGGGCGGGGCATAACAGAGGCCACGCCCCATCCTTCACGAGACCACGCCTCCTTTCCTCGAGGCCACGCCCCCCTTTCCCCGGAGCGGGCGCTGATTGGCCGGCCGTGCAGCAGCCCCGGGGGCGCGGCGCGTGCGCGTCACTTCCGGGCGGCACGCGATGCTGGCGGCGGCGGCAGGAGGCTCCGGGCCCGGCGGGGCGGGCGGCTCCGGGCCCGGGCCGGGCCCCGGTGGCGGCGGTGGTGGCAGCGGGGACGGGGACTTCCTGTCGCGGTACCGGCTGGTGTCGGCCAAGCTGCGGCGCCGGTTCCTGCGGAAGCCGAACGTGGCGGAGGCGGCGGAGCAGTTCGCGGCGCTGGCGCGGGAGCTGCGCGCCCAGGAGAGCCTGCCCTACGCGGCCTGGTGCCAGCTGGCGGTGGCGCGCTGCGCGCAGAGCCTGTTCCACGGCCCCGCCGAGGCGGCGGCGCTGGGCGAGGCGGCGCGGCTGTTCCTGCGGCAGGAGCGGGACCTGCGGCAGCGCCTGGCGCTGCGCGGCGGCTTCGGCGAGCACCTGGCGGCGGCGCAGAGCTGCGGGGCCTTCGCCGCCCGCCTGCACCTGGAGCGCGGGCAGCCGGCGCTGGCGGCCGGGCTGTGCCTGGAGCTGGCGGCGGCGCTGCGCGACACCGGGCGGCCGGCCCGAGCCGCCGCGCACTTCCAGCGGGCCGCCGAGCTGCTGGCGGCGGCGCGGCTGCCGCTCGAGGCTCTGCGCTGCCTGGCCGAGCGCGCCTCCTGCCTGCTGCTGGGCCGCGACTACGCCGGGGCCCTGGCGGCGCTGACGCGGGCGCAGGCGCTGGCCGGGGCCGGGGTCGGGCCCGGGGGGGCGGCGCCCGGCGGAGCCTTCCTGGACGCGCTGGTGCGCTGCGAGGTGTCGCGGGTGCTGCTGCTGCTGCTCCTGCAGCCGCCGCCCGGCAAGCTGCCCCCGGAGCACGCCCGCACGCTGGAGCAGTACTGCTGGGAGGCGCCGGAGGGCGGCGCGGCGGGCGGCGGGCTGCCGGCGGCGGCGAGCTACCTGCCGGCGGAGCTGTTCCTGCTGCTGCAGTCCGCCGTGCTGGCCTGCCAGGAGAAGGACGCGGCGGCGCTGCAGGCGCTGCAGGCCGAGCTGTGGCCGCTGCTGAGCGCCGAGCAGAACCACCTGCTGCACCTGGTGCTGCACGACATGCTGAGCCCCGCGGGGCAGGGGCTGTGAGCGGCTGCCGGGACGCTGCGAGGCGCTCCCCATCCTCCTCCTCCTCCTCCTGTTTTTTCCAAGCACCGGGACGCGGCGCGGGGCTGTATTAAAGCTGGCGCTGGCTGCACCAACCCGTGTGTGCGCTGCCCGCTTCTTGGGGTACGGGAGGGAAGGGGTTAACGGAGGGGGCGGGGCTTAGGGCGGAGGGGGCGGGGCTACGGGGGTGGGGCACGGGAGGGGCGTGGCCGCGGCTCCGCGCATGCGCGGCCCTTTCGGCTTCCGGCGCGGGTCCAGCACGCGGCGCGGCCATGGCGGACGGGGACGGTGCGGGACGGGAGGGGGCCTCAGGGGAGGGGGGGGGGGGCACCGGGAGGGACCCGGGGGGCAGCGGGGAGGGCGCGGGGCCCTCCGGGGCCTGCCCTGAGCGCCTCCGCCCCGCAGGTGGCAGCGCCAAGAAGAAGCGCAAGAAGGAGAAGCGGCCGCTGCTGGACCAGGACGTGGCGGTGAGTGCGGGGAGGGGGCGGCGGCGGGGCCTGGAGAGCCCCGGGGGCACCCCCCTGGGAGCATCCCCGGGGCGGCCACGCGTGTGTGTGGGGGCCCCTCTCAGCCCGCTGAGCCCTTGCTGTGCCCGCAGGACATCCAGCACACCGAGGAGTTCCTCATCAAGCCCGAGTCCCGCGTGGCCCAGCTGGACACGTCGCAGTGGCCGCTGCTGCTGAAGGTAAGGGGGGTACGGGGGGGAAATCAGGGCTCGGCCTGGCCGCCTGCCCGCCCCCAGCTCTCTGTGCCCGGTTACGGCGCTGCTCTGCTCGCTGCCACGTGCGGTGCTCGCGGCAGGGCCCCGCCACGTGCGTGCAGAGATCGGGCTGCAGAGCTGGTGGCGGGGTCTGGGTGCCTGCTCTCACCTCATCGCCTCCTGCAAGCACTTGTAAAAAAAACTTCATTAAATTAACTTCAGTCTCATGGGAGCCTGTGCTCCTGTGTGCCCCCAAGCCATGCATATAGAGCTCGCGGGGCACGATGCAGTTATCCCGCAGTGCAAAAGTCAGCTTTCTGCTCCTTCCCCACCTCTTCTACCTAGAACTTCTGATCCTTTCTCTCAGGAAAGCATTTCTGCAGTTTTAGCTGCAGGTCGGTTGCAGTTTGGCGGAGTTTTTTTTCATTCAAATGTGAACCGGATGTGGGGTAATTGCGGAGATGCGTTAGGGCAAAAACTCTCCTCGAGCTCAGTTGAGTTTCATTTTACTTACAATAAATTTCTGTTTGGATTTGGTAGAACTTTGACAAGTTAAATGTGATGACAGCACACTACACACCCCTGCCTTCTGGTGCTAACCCCCTTAAAAGGGAGATCTCCGAGTATGTAAGGTGAGTTCAATAAGCTCTAAAATGACTTAATTTTCTTTACGGTTAACGTCTTGAAAGCATGTTCTGTTCTATGTTTGTCTCTTACCTTCCTGCTCAACGCTGTCCTTGCTACTAATCAGTGAATGTCCAGCTATGGCCTGCTGGTCATTTTCTGTAAAGTTTTCTTTGTTCTGGGGTTGTGGCAGGTCTGCAGGTGGACGTTGCAAACACCTGAGGAGTTTTGAGTGGTCCTATGGAAAACCCTTCAGCCTGCCAGGCTTTGAGGCTGCCTGGAACTTGTTTGCAGTGTTTGGTTTGTATTAAGGACCGAGTACTGATAACATTATGGAAAGAAGAGAATTACTTGCTTGTGCAGAGTATGACCTGCCTTTCAGAGGAGCAGTGTGCAGAGCAGCTTGATGCGTGCTCAGGGGGAGCAGCTGTGGGCTCAGCTCTTACTTGGCTGTTCATTTAGAAATTCTTTTCTTTTTCCCTACAATGGCAAGTCTCATCAAGGTTTTCACACTACTGCTTCATTTGTCCCAATACTTAGCCCTTAATCTGTTGCGTTGTGCCGTAGGTCAGGCTTTATTAACCTCGACAAGCCTTCCAACCCATCTTCGCACGAGGTGGTCGCGTGGATCCGGCGCATCCTTCGGGTAGAGAAGACCGGGCACAGCGGCACACTGGACCCTAAGGTGACTGGGTGCCTGATTGTGTGCATTGAGAGGGCAACGCGGCTGGTCAAATCCCAGCAGAGTGCAGGTATGTTTATTGACATGGGACCATTTTCACTTGAAGTGGCTTGGAAGGTGCAGAGCTCTTTTGGAGACAAGATGGAGACTTCCAGCCCTGCCTTGAAAGGGCTGCCCTAGGCTTACAGTGCCTTGAACTCAAGGATCCATCTTGCTCCAAGCCAGTGAGGGTGCACCCGTGCTGTCTCAGGTGTTTTTTGATTGTTTCTCTGTGTCTGGGACTTGTGCTGTCAATGAAAACCCTTCTGAAAGACCAGTTTCATGTATTAACTGAATTTAAGGCACAAACCTACAACTCCAGTGAAATAGTGCTTGGTGAAACAACAAACACGGAGCTCAATTTTCACTGTGAGGAGAACCAGCTGGATAGTGGGTTGTGTGCACTTCTCAGGAGACGTTTGTGAAAATACTTGGACTCTCTAGATGTGTGGCTGTGTAGCAGCGTGCGCCTTGAGATCAACATTAAATGCAAGTGGCCGCTCCTGACTGCTCTTGTCGTTCTTTCAGGCAAAGAGTATGTGGGAATTGTTCGGCTGCACAATGCAATTGAAAGTGAGGCTCAGCTTGCCAGGGTAAGTCTCAGCACACTGTTAGCCACTTGACGCTCAAAGGGTTCAGCTTCTGTGGGATTTGAGAGGGTAGGAATGGACATCAGGCGTGCTGTGTGTGAGGTGATGATGAAGTTTATCCATTCTCTGAGTGCAGTGGCACTGCCCTCCTGCAACACCCCGACTCCTGTTCTAGGGTTTGGGTGCTGTGCAGCCTCCAGACACCCTCCAGTCTGCCAGTGTCCTACTGGGGGCTGCTGCGGTGTGTGGCTGGCTGCCTGCAGGAGCAAAGCAGTGCTGGCAGGGTCAGAGCCCCTCTCTGGAGGGGCTCCATCCCCACTAAGACGAGGGATAACATCTGATTGCACACTGCCACCTGATGGAAAAAGCCAGCTGTACCTCACTGGCAGTTGGGGTAGCGTTTTGACCACATTAGTGGTTTGTAACAGCTTTCTTAAATACGACATAACCAAATGGTGATGAATCTTCTGCGTTCTTGCTCGTGGAAGTGGCCCTAGTTGCTGGTGGTTCTGCGGTGCTCGTATGTTAGCTCTGCTCATGGCCCAGGTTAAGCTCTTGTTCCTGCTTCTGCTTCCAGGCAATAGAAACTCTGACAGGCGCCCTGTTCCAGCGACCTCCCCTCATCGCTGCTGTCAAGCGGCAGCTGAGAGTCAGAACCATCTATGAGAGCAAGCTGGTGGAGTATGATCCTGAGAGAAGATTAGGTAAAATGGGGGTTTTCTGCCTTCTTTCAATTCAACTCGCAGCTGATAAAATTTCCGTTGAAGTGGGCTGCTTCTTGTCATTTTTAGATGAACTTAAGACACAAATCCTTCCCACCATCAAGCAGTAACTGCTTCCCGTATTGCTTGTGTGTGCAGAGAAGCAAATCCCACCTTGCATCCTTCACTGACGAGCCAAATGATGTCAACTAGATGGCATTAGCACTTGGTGCAAAGATGACCTTCATCTATCACCCCATGCTGATGGCTCTCTGAGGGGTTGAACAAAGAGCTTCTAGACGCGACTCATTTCTAGACACCTATTTAAGTAACCTTCTGTCCTGCCTTGTGTTGCAGGTATCTTCTGGGTGAGCTGTGAAGCAGGCACGTATATCCGAACGCTTTGTGTGCACCTTGGTCTGCTGCTCGGTGTTGGGGGCCAGATGCAGGAGCTCCGGAGAGTGCGATCTGGGATCATGGGAGAGAAGGTAATGGTGGCTCTGATTATAACCAGCAAATCAGGAATTGTCAGAATGGCAAGAGCTCTGTGCAGATGTGCATCGACTGGGAGCAGTTTTGTGAATAGCCCTGACAACATGGAAACTCTTGGCCACAGGCAGTCTGTAACCAAAGTGTTGAGTTCAGTCCAGGGCCTTCTCCCTGTTCTGGTAATTAAACTTTGGAACAATGAGCGACTGGGAAATGCACCACGGTGACTGAAAGTTTGTTTTACGCCACCTGTATTTCTCGGCCTACAAAGCATGCACGAGCCGAGCTTTCTGCGTAGCAGCTTATGACCACTTGGTGTCAGGGCAGGACGCAGGGAGCATGCCTGTGGAGGGGAGCTTGGGAGGTGCAGTCGTGTATGATCTTGAACAATTCCCCACTGTTTTCTGTGTGGCCATTGCTGGATCCTGTTGCCAGTTCAAGCTCCAGGACTAATTTATCTCCTTACAAAGCAGGGTTATGAGAGTGATCAGTAGCATTATTTCTGAATTCCAGGTGATGGATGCTCACAGGTGCTTTGATAACTTATTGCAGGTCACAGATTGGTGAGCTGCTTGCTTTAGGCTTCTACTCACTGATGTTCTTTGTCTCGAAGTTTGAGGTGTTTAAGTGTGAAGCACTTCTGAAGTGTAGCCAGGTAGGCAGGGTCTATCCATTAGATCCAAGTGCAACGTGACATGAGGAAGGTTGAAGCCTGCAGTAGCAGAGATTAGGCTGATCTTGAGCTGTATTCTCTTGAAAGTATTTGTCCTTGCCTCTTCCAGGTAATATTTGTTGATGATTGTGAATCGTGCATCTGGTTTTGCTCCCTTTCAGCACACTGTTTGCTATTAGGCTTCATTTTCTTTTATGTGTCTTGAGCTGGTGGCTGGTAGGAGAACTCGGAGGGGTTGTGTCTTTTCAGGACAACATGGTGACGATGCATGATGTCCTGGACGCGCAGTGGCAGTATGACAACAACAAGGATGACAGCTACCTGAGAAGGGTGATCCTGCCCCTGGAGAAACTGCTGACTTCCCACAAGCGGCTGGTCATGAAAGACAGTGCAGTGAGTTCCTGAGTTAGAGCCAGTTGATGTAGTGACTGTGAAGTGTCGTCCTGTTTGTATAGCTAATAAAATAAATGGGGAGCAGGATCCTCGTGGAGTACAGCAGGGTCCTGTTTGAGAGCTGTGTAGGACCTTGTATGGGCTGCTGCAAGGTCACAGCCGTAAGATTGGAGAGCCCAGAACCAAGCGTCAGATGTGCTGTGCTCCTCGCTTTAGGAGGATGCTGATGGTTTTAAGAGATCTGCCTCGCGTTGTTGGCTCTGATGGGTGCTTCCTTTTGATTGCTTTTCCCAAAGCACACAGGTTTTATATGGTCGATAATGAGAAACAAATATGTGGGGATGTTATTGTTAACAGTAACGGCAACAGGAGGCCAAAACATCAGAGGCACTTGCATTGTTTTTATTCTCCAGTAGCTTATAAGCCCTCTCATACCCCACCTTTTTAGGTTAATGCTATTTGCTATGGAGCAAAGATCATGCTACCTGGTGTCCTGAGGTATGAAGACGGTATTGAGCTTAATCAGGAGATTGTTGTCATCACCACAAAAGGAGAAGCTATCTGCCTAGGTATGAAACTCCTCATTCTTCTTGTGCCCATCTATTCTAGTGAACGTGTAACAGATGAATCTCCAAGCACAGAAGGTTTAAATAGCACTTCCTGACAGAAATTGTGGGTTAATATGGCCTAGTGAGCTAGGCTGCAAGGTGGTTGGCATCGAGCAGGATGTTAGGAAGCACCAGCTGCATCAGAGCCGAGTTGTATGCAGGGTAGGCTGTTGCTTACATTGCTGTCAGTAGTCTTCTGTTACTCCTGTTACCTCTTGCTGCCTGGGATATGAGCTGCATGCTTTCTTCAGAGCCAGTCCTTGGTGACAAGAGTTCCTCAGTCACATTGCAGCTGTGTGGTGCTCAGGCATGCTGTGTGTGAGGTGATGATGAAGTTTATCCATTCTCTGAGTGCAGTGGCGCTGCCCTCCTGCAACACCCTGACTCCTGTTCTAGGGTTTGGGTGCTGTGCAGCCTCCAGACACCCTCCAGTCTGCCAGTGTCCTACTGGGGGCTGCTGCGGTGTGTGGCTGGCTGCCTGCAGGAGCAAAGCAGTGCTGGCAGGGTCAGAGCCTCTCTCTGGAGGGGCTCTGTCCCCACTAAGACGAGGGATGACGTCTGATTGCACACTGCCACCTGGCACATCACACGTACCGAGGATCAGTATGAAACGTCTTGAGCAACTGTCAGCTTCTGTGAAGTGGCTTGAAGCAGTGCTTTGTTCTGACTGGCGTCTTCATCGAAGCTGTGTAGATGGCAGGTGGTGAGGCACTGTAGGATGGTCTGTCTGGTGCTGTGTGGCCTCACTGATCTTCTGGAGTAAACTGGAGGGGCTCGTGCTCCTGGTGTAGTCGATCCATGACACAGATGCTCTCTCATCTTGCAGGGCAGCTCTCTGAAGCTTAAATTCAGGACTTGTGTCCAGTAAGATTTCGGGATGATATGGCATTGTTGGGGTATTTGCCTCCTCTTTGTGCTGCCAGAGGAAGAGCAGGCTGAACCCAACAGGTTGCTGCATCTGTCCTCTCACAGTCTTGCTGTTCTAAAGTGTTCACGAGCTTCCTGCTTGCTTCTGCAGCTATCGCCTTGATGACCACTGCAGTCATCTCTACCTGCGACCATGGCGTGGTGGCAAAGATCAAGAGAGTGATCATGGAGAGAGACACGTATCCCCGCAAGTGGGGCCTTGGTCCCAAGGTGAGCAGCAGGGGGTGTTGGTGGGAGCCCGGCTGTGGGGCTACGGGCACCTCAGGTCTGTGCTTGAGCCCTCCTGTGTTAAAGAGCCACATGATGTGAAGTGGATGGCATTAGCACTCTGTGCAAAGATGACCTTCATCTATCACCCTATGCTGATGGCTCTGGAGGGGCTGGGCAAGGAGCTCTGCAGTTGGAGTGGGTCACCTGAAATGTGGGAGGTCATAAAGCTGCGGGGAGAAAAGCACATCAAGGATATAAGCCCAATTACACGCAGCTTTTGCTGTTAGTTCCCCCCCAAATTAGCCCTTATTTCCTGATGAGATGCCTTCTGACTACTCCCTGTCTGTGACTTGTAGGCTGCAGTGCAGCGGATGTTTTCTCTGAGTTGTCAGAAAGTCCTTAGAGAAGCGTTCAGTCAGTGACGATGTGGTTCTTGGCTTGGCTTGCTCATAGATTATCTCCTCTCAGGATGAGTGGCTGAAGCCCAGGGGAAGGTTTCTCCTCTGTGGAGCTGCAGGCTGACCTTGTGCACTTTGCTCTCAGGCCAGTCAAAAGAAGATGATGATCCAGAAGGGTCTGCTGGACAAGCACGGAAAGCCCAACGAGAGCACACCAGATTCCTGGAAGAAGGAGTATGTGGATTACAGGTGGGTACGATTTCAGTTTCAGAATGATGGCACAGAGAGCAGGCTGTGTGCAGTGAGCACTAATTTGGGTGCTGCTCGTGCTCTCAGGTGTGTCAGACATGGCCAAGGTGTATTTGCTGTCTGGGCCCTTGGTGTGCGGTGTTCTCAGAGTTACAGGGACCGTGCTGGTGCTGGGCAGGGCTGGAGCGGAAGGCCCTGAGCAGACGGTTATCCCTCTTAGCCTGTGCCTGTGGCTTTAGAGGGAGTCAGTCTGCTAAAGGAAAGAGGGGAGGCTTTGCTGTTGTCCTGTCCAGCTGGCACTGGTGCAGGCTGCGGGTCTTCCCCACACTGAGCTCCTCCACCTGACGCCTTGCAAGGGGAAAGGGGCTTTGTAGTGGTGCAGAGCCGTGCCAGGCAGTGACTGTCCTCCTCAGTATGGTGTCTTCTCTTTCAGGGAGACGTCCAAGAAGGAGGCAGCTGCGGTTCCCCAAGCTGTATCAGAGGTGGAGAGGGCTCCAAAAGTGAGTATCGCTGGTGCTGTCTGGCTGTAAGGTTGGTTGGGCTCTGAAGACTTCTGATGTGTGCCTGTTCCTTTAGGCAGTTGGTATTAAGTGCTGAATTGTGGGCTGCTTTGTTTGGTTGTAGTACGTGGGCAGTGTTTCATATTCCAGGAGCTTAGTGCCCGCTTTGTTGTGGTTTTGTGGTCTGTGGATTAGCAGGTAGAGTGACCTGTTTATAGGCCTCAGCCCATTCATGTTTATCTCTGGCAGTCTGTAGCTCTCCCTCCTTTTCAAAGCGTTGCTAACTGAGAAATTTGAATCGGGCAAAGCAGCCGTAAGCTTGCAGGCAGCTTTTCCATCCCTTGAGCCCTTTTGGGAGATGGCCCGGCTGACCGTGTGCTCTCCTAACAGAGGAAGCGGGAGTCAGAGAGTGAAAGTGAGGAGGCCGTGACCCCGCCATCCCCAGCCACTCCACCACCAGAGGAGCTGAGCAAAAAGGAAAAGAAGAAGAAGAAGAAAGAAAAGAAAGCCAAAGAAGCAGCTGAAAGTGGGGGAGAACAAGTAGAAGTGGTATGTAACTGGGTACTGCCGTGGTACGGACCAGGCGTTGGGAAGGGCTGCTGTCTGTCCCCCATACCCCCAGGATAAATGTGGCAGCATCCCGCTGTGCGTGTCGTCAGCGTACCAGGCTCCCTGCCGGGGGAGGAAGGTGCCTCAGTACAGGCACATTCATAAACTGGACTGGTTGTGAGGGAGGGGGGATGGATCTGCACTGGGGATGGACATGAGCAGTGGGTGATGCCTCTCATTCCTTCCTGACCTCTCCAACCTCTTCACAGACCAGTGAAACCAGCACCAAGAAGAAGAAAAAGAAGAAACAGAAGGAGGTAGAAGAGAGCTCAGAGTAAGCGACTGGATCTATCCAAAGCAGGCGACCTCATCGTTAGAGAGGGAGGAGTCTGAGGCCTTGAGAAACCAGGACTGGCTGCATGGCAGAGGGGCCAGCAAGTTCCCAGTTCCTTTTCTGCTGTGCATAATATGAGTGAGGAGGTGTGTTTGCCCAGGATAAGCCCTGCTCATGTGCCCCTCCTCATCCTGTTTTAAGGGTAGCCAGAGGAGGGGGTACCTGACTGCCCCTGCACTGGATTGCTTTGTGAATCTGGACACCTTGATGCCAACAGAAACGGCATCTTCAGGGAAACTGCAGCTCCTTGCTCTTAGGTGTATTCATTTCCACCACGAGAGGGAGGAATGGCACTTTCCCCCTGCTCTTGTCCTGCCTCTTCCTTCCTTCTCTTCCAGGGTTGGAGCTGTTACCTGACAGTCGCAGAATGTATTGGTGGCTGGAGGACTGGCCTCGCCATGGCCCATGGAAAGGGCTTGGCATGGGGACAATTGAATCAGTTATTTGAAGGGCTCTGTGGTTTTTTGACCTGGCCATATGCTTGGCTTGACCCTCAGATAATTGAGAACAAATGTTCCAAAGGTATTCAATACCTTCTAAAAACTTCTATCATAAAGGATTAGAACATGAATTTCCTGCTTTATGCTTCAGAGATCCTGTTAGTTCAGAGATCCTGTTAGTTGTCAGCTGATCCTAGACCCAGTGTCCCAGTAATGTTGCTGGTGTCTACCTCCTGCTGGCTCCATCCTGGTGGTTGGAAGGGGACTGCAGCACTCTCAGCTGCCTTCCCTTGTCTTGGTACCTAACGTGCTCTGGAAGCTTCCAGTGGGGATGTGGCTGTGGGGCAGAAGCAGTAACAAGAAAGTGGCTGTGGCTGCCCAGGATCTCTAAAGGGCTGTCGGGACTGGAGAGCTCATGAGCAGCTGGCCAAAAGCAGCTCTGCAGGGGGCACTGGGTGTGGAGCTTGAACGGTTTCATAATGAGTTGTCCGAATATCCTTGGCTGGGGTGGCTCACTGGCAGCAGGAGGTCTCTTCTATCACAGGGATAGTGCTGAGCCAGGATTTTAGCCCCTTTCGATGGGGAAGGATCCAGGCTGTGGTGTTCTGAGCTTCTATCCCTGCAGAGATCCTGTAACATTTGTCTTACCTTAATGCATTGCTTTAACCTGACTTGTCTGACCCTTTTCTCCCCTCTAATGCTAGAGGCGCAGGCAATGGTGCCAGCAGCTGGTGACTGTCAGAACCTGAGCAGATGAAATGTCACGTTTTTATTCTTTTTTACATAATAAAAGCCCTATTTTTAAATGGGTGACTATTGCTTATCTGGCTCGTTAGGAGGTCGGTGTTCTCAGATCACTGGGTCCCTCTGTGGGGAGGGGAGGTGGTTCACGTGTGTGTGCTGCAGGTACAGAGAAGTGCTTGAGTCTACTTGGATGCCAACTAGAGAGGCCTCTGGTCATCTGGACTGGGTAGGTGAGTAGGGGCCACCCTCCGCTTGTAAATCCCAGTGGGATGTGCCTGGAAGCTTTCTTCCTACTGGAGAGGTCTGGCAGTGGATGGAGAACTGCTCAGGCCCTGGCCTGCTTTACCTCAAGTGCCTCTGGGTCAGGGAGGTGGAAGGCTTGCAGCTGGGAGCCTCTATGCAGCCTGAGTTAAAACACCAGCCACGGCCGATGTTTCAGCACACGTTTATTGCTGCTCATTGTTTCCCTGCAGTGGATCAGAACAAAGGTCCCTATTGCACATCAACAGATCTTATTTTTGGCATCCTTAAAACAAAACAAAAAAAGATTGCACAAGACTTGTTAGCCCCCTTCCCCTAGCTGACTGCTGAACACACACGATATTCTTGCATGGAGGTGATGGCTGTGGTCTGCCCGGGAGCCACCACGATGCTTCCTGGGCATGGTGGGGCTGGTGTATCGATGCATTCCACCTTCAGGAGGAGCAAACCCCTTTGTGGGGGTGCCTTTTAGGTTAGCATACGGTGTGCGAGGCACCCGGGACTGGAAAACATGCCTGGATGATCTCTTTAGAGACTGTTTCTACTGCATGCAATGGATACTTGTGGCTGGATCTACTTTACCCATTGAACTGCCCCTCTGGGCTTTGGTCCGCAGGACTTGCTCAACTGCTGCTGAGTTTTTCTGGCCAGCCAGTAACAATCCAAGCCGCACAGTGAGGATTTAAATGCAGGGAGTTTTTACAACTACAGTTGCACAGGGTGAAACAGAAAACCCAAACCTCAGAATGCAGGCGCAAGACCTGCCTGGGGATGGCACGTTCCGTGTCAAATCCACACTTGCTTTTTTCTGGTTTTACTTGCTTGTGAGGGGAAAGCCTTGGACTTAGGAGCCCTGCTGTGGTCTAAGAAGCCTCCCAAGCTGTGGGCTTGTCAGGGGCTCAAGGTCACCGTCCAGGCTTTCAAGGTGTTTGGTGCAGGTGCAGGGACACCTGCCTGGAAGGCCCCTGCTGTACCACGTCCCTTGGGGCTGACGCAGAGAACAAGACGGGCTGGGTGCTGCAGGATTGTGCTTTCCCTCGCCAGGTGAGGCGGGGGGGCTGTGCTCTGAGCTGTGGGGATGCCGTGGGCTCTGCTGCAGCCCCGTTTGAGTGCAGCGGGAGGTGGCTGTTCCTTCGGGCAGCCTCTGGCCTGCATTCCCTGGCAGTGGCGCTCTGGAGACCCTGTGTGTGTCGACCAAATGAGACCGGGTCCGTGGGGCAGCAGAGGAAGGGACTTGTGCTGGGCCGGGCGGCGATCAGGGGAAGCTGAGGAGGAGGTTTCTCTGCTGCAGGATGGGTTGATGGGAAGCGGCGGGGGCTGGAAGCCCTCTCAGTACACCCAGGAGACGGGCACCCACTGTGGAGAGCTGCAGGCCTGCTCAAAGGCTTCCTCCAGCAGCTTGAGGCTTTCCTCCACTCCGTTGTTGACTATGGAGAGGTCGAAGTAGTGTGCGTAGCGGCTCCGGATGCTCTCGGAATCCTTACGGAGTTGCTGCAACGCCTCCGACTGCAAGGAACAGGAGAGCACGCTCAGGAGGCTGAGGAGGGGAATTCCCAGCCCATCCCAACAGGCAAGCTCTGTCCCATCCCCAAAACAACTCCAGCTGTTCCCAGCCTGAGCACAGAGCAGCGAACAGGCCAGGAGAGCTGTTGTGCAGCCCCACGGGAGCATCAGTGGATTTGAATTGTGCTTTTATGCAATGCTGGGAGCATCAGGTTACCCGCTAGAGTGAGGTCAGCTCTGCTTAGCCCTGTATTTGTCTTTAAAGTGCCTTGTGGCAGCTCCCCAGGAGGAGGAGGTTCGCCTAGCAGCGGGCTGCTCGTTGCTACAGCTCCCCAGCTTGAGGCCTGGGGCTGATTTAAACGCAGGAGCTCTGCAAGACGATCCCTCCCCGCTGGCCTGTAAGCAGCACGGGCTGACAGCCTCAGCAGCCTCCCCATCCCGCTGCTGGCTCCCCGCAGCCTCTAACTGAGCAGTTTGCCTGGGTCACACAAGCCCTGCTAGGTGACATTTTGGCTCTTACTCCTGGAGGAAGCAGCTACCTGAGCTGCGGCAGCTGGCTATATATAGAGCAGTGCGTGCAGCAGCAGGGCTGGCCCTGCCCACTGCGGCAGGGATTAGTGCCTCTGCCTGGAGCCAGCGCAGCCACGGGGCATGGGCTGGGGGGAGCGGGCTGCCCCCAGCGTGCAGTCTGGCCGTGTAACACTGCACATCAACGCCTGTGTGATGCTACAGAAACCTCCCCCTGCAGCCTGCTGCACGCTGTACGACCCCCAGCTAATGGTCTGGGCTGGTCCAGCCTCTGAGCGGTGCTGTGGGTCAGGAGGAGCACGGCTCTGTGGGATTTCCTTTTCTCCCACTGCTCCCCATCTCCCTGCTGTGGTTAGCTCTGGGGGAGCCGCAGGCAGTGGCTCGGCAGGGAGGCAGAGCTGCTCTCTGTCTCTGGGAAGCAGGCACGCAGCCGCCAGCCCTGGGGTGCTCAGCACCGGGGGGGTTAACTGCAGCATCAGTGCTGCTTGGTCCTAATTTTGGAGGGATGAGCACAATGAGCCGAAGAATGGAACACTGCTGTTTGCCTGTCCGATTTGCATAGCTGATGGCAGGAGAAGTGTTCCTGCTCTGCAGCACTGCTACAGCTGGTGCTGGTGCTGGGCTGTGCACCCAGCTACGTGCTAGTGGCTCGTGGTGCTGCGGGGCCGATGCGGGCTGGGGTCTGTACCTGGCAGTCAGCCTAAGGCTGCAGGAATCCCTCAATCCTATTCCTTAGCTCTGGGCTGATGAAGCCTCCCTGCACCACAAGGAAGATGATGATCCTCCTTACAGAGCAGGGAGGAGAGCCCTGGGCTGCCACAAGGTTTCTGCTCCTCTCCACCCCCTGCCCAAATGAGAGGAAACTCTGCAACTGCCACCATCACTCACCTCCTCTGCCTTGTCTGTTGGGGCGATGAAGACTATGAATGGGGAGAGCTCTGCCGTGCGGACGATCTTCAGGGTCTGTGGAGAGAGCAGCACATGGTTACAGGGATGTTGTGGTGCCCGTGATGCAGCCTGTGAGCATCCATCCCCGTCCCTGCAGAGCACCCTGCTCTGGGCTGGCTGTTGGACACCACTTCATGAAGCAGCACCCCCACGGCTGGTGTCTGACAGGGGACAGGGTCCCTGTCCCAGCCAGGCACATGCTGTACCCACATCTTGGGCATGGAAATGCCACCTCAATGCTCCCAGGCTTGGGGAAGGCTGGGTTGGTCACACCCAGCACGAGGGTGGTTCAATGCACGGCAATCCCCATCCCGCTCCCGTTCCCCTGCTCCCTACCTGGGGCTCGATGTCCAAGATAGCGACTTTGTCCTGCTGGTGGATCTTGTGCACTGTTTCAAACTTGGTGCCGAACATATTCCCCTGGTAGCTTCCAAACTCCAGGAACTCGTTGGCTGAGATGTCCCGGGTCATCTCCTCGGTGGAGACGAAGTAGTAATCCTTCCCGTCCTCCTCGTTCTTCTTCGGGGGGCGCGTGGTGTCTGGGGAGAGAGGGCAATGCCTGGCATGTGCTGACCCCAGAAGGCCTGGGGAACTGACCTGGGGGGTTTCTGGTCCCTTTTTGAGCATGGGGCTAGGGCAAGGAAGAGCACAGAAGACCTGTGTACCTCCCGTGAAGGTCAGAAGGTCCAGGCCCCCCTGCCCTGAGGAGGAGGTGAGGAACGTGCCCCAGGGGGTGCCAGGGCAGGGCTGTGCGCCCCTCGCCCTGCGGAGTTACTTACGAGGAGCTGGGTACATGAACTTCTCGGGGTTGTTGCTGAGCAGAGCGTTCTTGATGTGGCTACGGCCCACCCCGCTGGCTCCTGCAGGGAAGGAGGGACAGGATGCTGGAGCCGGGCTCAGGAGGAGCCAGGGCCCCTCTGCAGCTCTACATGTCTGAGGGATGGTACCAGCACTCCCAGGACCCGCTTTCTGAGCAGGTCTGTGGTGTCCTCCAGCCTGGAGGAGGCTCTCCCTGCATCAGGTGCTCTTGCCTCCAGCAACCAGGACGATGTTTAAGAGCCAGAAAGCTCTCCCGAACCCACTCCACCCCAGCCCTGCAGTGCAGGTGGCAGCCCACATGCAGATGTCAGCCTGCTTGGGGACTGCTGCAGGCATAGTAAACGCTCCCCAAAGCTCACAAGCTTTGAAGGGCAGCCCTGCCCCAGCCCACGTTCAGCCCCACGGCCCCCAGCACATGCAGCCCCTGCGCTGAGGACACCTGGGGCAGGGCCTACCGATGAGCACCAGGGTCTTCCTCTTGAAGGCAGGGCAGCCTCACCACCTCCTCGTAGGAAACCACATCCAGCTGGTCAAAAACTGGAGCGGAAGAGAAACAAGACAGTAATTAGCAGCCGGCCTGGCTATGACAGTCGGGCTGTGCGTGTGGGAGCACAGCCAGATCCTCTGGCAAAGCGAGGGGAGCGATCGAGATGGGGCGTTTCTGCCCAGAACAGTAGGACCCAGCAGCAGGGTGAGGAGGCAGCGGGAAGCTGCAGAGAGCTTGTTGCTCGGGGAGCTTTATTTATCTTGCTGATTTATGGCCCTGTTTGTTGTTGCTCGGAGCTGCAGGTCGGGCCAGCAGCCAGCACGTCCTCAGCCCGCTGCTGGCCCAGGGCAGGCCGAGCACGGGTTAGCTCGGGGTTTACACAAGCAGCTGACAGGCACGCTCCGTGTCCCAACAGGACACTGACCTGGGGTTTTGTGGTCCCTTTTTGCTCTGACTGCTTCCCGAGGGCTGAGCAGCAGCAAGGCCAGCGCCTGCCCCGTGTTTGACAGCCTGCAGAGTTTGGGGCTCACACTTACTTGAGCTGTGCTTGGCCAGGTATTTGTCTTTGCACTTCTTTTTCTTCCCAAAGGGGCTGCAGCTCGGGGCTTCGCTCTGACTGGACTGGGTGGTGCTTGCCACACGCCTGCCGAGAGAGGAGGACACCAGTGAGGCCCGGCTGCCACCCCGAGGCCCTGGAGAGCACAGGGATCGTCCCTCAGACACACAGGGGCACCCACCCTAGAGTCTCACCCTACTCCTGCCAGCACAGCAGAGCTCCGTGCCCCAGCTGTGAGCTGGGGATGCGGCTCCCAGCCCCACAACCACGTCCATCCCCAGACTGGGGTTCCCTGACCAGGGACCTACCACTCCTGGAGCTCTGGGGAAGGGATGAGCCCCGCCGCCTCGGTGCCGGAGCCCTCCACGCGGCCCTGCCACCAGTTGCTGTCATCCTTGTTGATGATCTGAATCACGTCACCGGTCTGGAACTTCAGCCCCGCTTCCTTGCAGGGGATCAGGCTGTCTTTTTTAGGGTCATAGTCAAACTGCGCCCTCATGAACATCTGGAAGAGAGAAAAGGCTGCAGTTGGCACGGCTGTGCCGGGCGGCTGAGCTTGGCCATATCCAGCTCCCAGCCCCATGCTGCATCACCTGGCAGCAGCTGTGCAGCTGCTGAAGGACTGCGTGCCCGAGCCGGGCAGACCGTGCTGTCCTTATTCCCCATCAAAACAATTTCCACACAGCACGTCCTCCAGCAGCACTGCTGTGACCTGCCAGAAGCACGGGGCCAGCGGGACACAAGCGCGGGTCCCTCGCTGCCAGGAAAGCAGAGCACAGATCGGGCTGTGCCATGAGACCTCTTGGGAAGGAAGACGACAAACATGGAACAGCCTCCCAGGATCCTGCCACCTGCTCAGGACCAACACTTGCTTTGAAAGCACCCTGTGGTGCCAGGAAGGTGGGCACCAACACAAGCATGCAGGGGACACACAGCGGGAACTGCCTGGAGCCCTCTTCTCCAAGCCAGGCATAGCCAGGTCCCTCAAATTTTGGAAAGACCCCGACTGAGCGTCACCCCTAGACAGCTCCAGGCATTACCCAAGGACATCAAATGGCCGGCTCCCGGTGCGGATTATTTGCCAGCCCCTTCCTGGGACTGGAAGCTCAGGCACCGAGCAGGCTCCAGCAGAAGGAGCCTCGGTATTTAAGGTCAAAAACCTGCAGTTTATGTCGGGGTTGGAGGTGACCCTGAGAGACCTGAGCGCTCGGTGTTTCTCGTTAGGATCCTCCCAAGCAGAACTGCCACGAGAAGCCCTCAGCTGGCCTCGTGGTGGCCGACTGCCAGGCTGCAGGGCCAGCCCAGACTGGGCGCTGCTTTTGCCGGTGCTGGGATCTGCACCGTCACGCCGTGAGCTGAAGGGGATCGAGGGGACAGAGGAGGTGAAACGAAACCAGGAGTTACTCTGCTCTCAGCAGGGGGCTGCAGCCAGCACAGACCTGGGCACCTCGGGAGCTGCTGGTCCCGGGAGCCTGGACGCATTGAGGGGAGGGCAACTGCTGCTGCTGGGAAGGAGTTTGTCCCCATGTCCTTCCCTGAGCCCAGAGCCAGGTGGTTTGTCCTTTTTCTCAGAGGTAACTTCTCCCCGGCGCTGAGCTGGCCTGGCCGATTGGAGCTGGCTCGGTCAGGCCAGGGTAGGGCCCAGGACAGCAGGAAAGGGGAGACAGGGCCAGCACTTAATAAACAAGCACAGTGCAAGGCTGGTAGAGCTGGAATGACGGCCGCAAGGGCTGAGAGAGAAATGGGGTGATTTTCACTCACCCCCATACTCAGAGACTTCAGCTCCTCTGCGGGAGATCCTGCCCCCACCTCTCCCAAGCCCCTCTCCCACTGCTGCCTGTCCACAGCGCAGGGGCTGTGCTGGGGTGAGCTCCAGCCCCGGGAGCAGCTCAGTGTGCCAGCCACCACGCTCAGACATCCTCCCTGAGGACCAGCCCTCCGCGTTACCCCGAGCATTTCGGCCAAAGCAGGACTCCAAAGGCAAAGCCAGCCAAGTGCCCATGCTGAGCGCAGGCGTGCACCCTCCGGAGCGTGTCACCCCCTGCCCGGCAGCGGCAGCAGGAGCTGCCTTCCTCTCCCCCACTGCTTCCTTCCTCCCCCTCGCTCAGGGGCAGAGCTGCTCAGCAGTGCCGGGGCTGATGCAGCAGGCAGCAGTAACGGCCCGGCACGGCCGAGCGCCCCGTGCTGCACCTGGAGGCACTGCCGTGAGCTGTAACGGGGATGTGGCTGCAAGGCTGTGTAACGGCAAGGCCTGGAGGTGGGCAGGAAGCTCTCGGGCTTCCTGGTGCACGCACACTGCTGCTTTCGCATCGCTAAAGACTGCGCACAAGTAGGTGTGTGGCTGGGGAAACCCAGGCCCGTGTTCCTGCATACGCATCAGGTTAACTCATCTGCGGTGATGGAAGCACAGGGCAGGTCCCTTTGCCCTCCAGCAGCTCCTCCAGACCCCTACCCTGCCCCAGGCCTCTCCCCAGTGTTGGTCCCTGGTGGTTTGCTCTGGTCCCACCCAGCCCCAGAGCCGTGTCACGACACAGCCCGCACTTACCTGGAGAGCAGGGAGGCGGCTTTGCTGGTTGGGAATGACTTTTATTGAGACCATGCCCTGGGTTTCTTTCTAGTGAACAAAGGAAGGGGAGAAAGAAAAGTTGGAGTAGGTGGGCCTGGAGGCAGCCCGGCAGCAGCAACCTGCACAGGGAGCGAGGACCCACAGAGGAAATGCTCCTGTGTGCTCCCCGCTCTGCTAAGATTTGGGGAGGCCAGAGCCCAGGCAGAAATGGCTCTGCTGGGGATGGGCTAAGAGCTGCAGCAGCATAGCTTTGCCATGCTTATTCCACACCCAAGGGGGACACTGACACCCGCACAAGGAGCTGGCTGTGGGCACTGCCCAGCATCACCAGAATGAGCACGGAGATCTGCTCCATCTCCAGCCCAGCTGTCCCCGGGAGGAGCTCAGGAGGAGCGTCCCGTTCGGCCAGCATAAAGGAAATGCTTCCCTCCGTCTGTTCCCTCCATGCTGGCCCCTTCTCAAGAGACAAAGACAAGCTCCCCAAGCAGCACATCCGTAGGCAAAGGGCTCGCTCCTGGGGAACAGCCCCGCCACACACAGATACCTACCAGCATCTTCTGCAGCTGGTCAACCGAGTGGTTGCTCACGCTCTGCCCATTGATTTCTATGATCTCATCACCCACGTGCAGGGAGCCTGCCAGCAACGGGAGAAACATAAAAATGCAGGAGCAGACAAAAGGCACCCACCAAACCCCAGCTAGGCAGCTCCAGCACCCTCTGAGCCCCGGTGAGAGCTGTGCCCCGGGCACCACGGTGGTGTTTGCCCAGGCAGTGCTCGTGGAGCCACCCCTCACCTAACCCCAAGGCACAAGGGGAATGAATTCCACCCTCTCTGCCCAACGCACACCCTTTGTTCACGCTGAAGGTTATCAGTTTACTTTCCACTTTGTGTCTTTCCCTGCTTTAGACTGGTCAAAGCACCCGTTCCAGAGTTATTTAAACCCAGCCCCAAGTACCTCACTTGGAGCCAAATGACAGCCTCTTTACAAAGCCCTTGAACACCAGCTTTCTCGACTTTATGTGTTTTAAATTTATACATCCAGCCAGATTATAGCCTCAGATATACTGCTATAAATCAGGCTCCGGCAGCATTATTGGAATGGCTTCTGTATTATCTTGGCAGGGGCGAGCTCAGACTTCCCACTTCGACCCCAGGCTGGAAAAGGGGCCTCATCTAAGCACAAAACATCTCATTTCCACACCCCCTTGGCAAGACCCAAACCCACAAAATGGCACCTATTAATTTCTTTTGGCACTTAATTTTGGTCTGCAGAGCCAATCCCCAGCACGCCTGTCCTGCCTGTGCACTTCAGGAACGGGAAGAGCTTCCCCCCCAGCCTCTGGGGTACGATCCATCTCTAGTTACGGTCACCCCGTCACGGGAGGGAGACGGACGGCTCTCAGGTTCCATTTTGGGAGAGCCCTTCCCCCAGCCCTGCATTTCTCCCTAAAGCCTCCAGCGCATTAACAACAACCCTGCAGAGAGATGGGCGAGTCCTGAGCTCCTGACATGCTCCTGGTGGAGGAAAGGACACAGATATCCATGCCACGGCGGGGCTGCCTGATCTCCGCGCGGGAAGAAGCCAGATGCAATCGTGCCCCTGGTGCATGGCCTCTAGGAGGGCCTCAGGCTGTCCCTTGCTGTTACCTTGTCTGTGAATCATGCCCCCGTGGAAGATCCTGGCCACCATGCAGCTCTGCTTGTCGTTCAGCTTCAGCGTGATTCCCTGGAAGACAGGAAAATCCGTGACTGCTGGCCGGAGGGGAGAGCCCCCGCACTCCCAGCAACATCGGCTCCTCTTGGCACGGGCATCGCCCGCAGGTCCCGGGCAGGAGGCAGCATCCAGCACCCTCTTCTTGTGGCTGAGCTTCCCCCACATTCAGCCCACCAGCATGGCTCTGCCTGCCCCTCCACCCCGCTCGGTGCCACCGGGCTTTGGGGTCCTCACCATGGGCTCCTCTGTCACCTTCTCGAACTGCACCAGGCGTATCTTCCGCACCTCGCGGCCGTTGCTGTGGGAGGGACTGCCCAGAGTGGCCGAGCCGTTGGTGTAAATGTCCTCGGTCATGGCATTCGGGGCCTGGGTGACGGCCTGTCGGGGCAAAACACAGACCCGGGTTTAGGGGCTCCCCCTGCGTGGGGCTGAGCTACTCCCTGTGGTCACGTTCCTGGGCGCAGGGGGGGAGGCGAGACCCGTGAGTGGAAGGAGAGGACAGGAAGAGCAAGGGAAGAAAGAGAGCAAAACAGCTTCCCCCTTGAAGATCAAGATCAGCAGTTTTCCAGCTTGGGAGACACAGGAGGCGAGAAACCTTTGGAAAAGTTACAGGTACAGAAGCCAGGAGTCCACAGCTGGTTGTCTTCTGCAGCAGCAGGTCCCGCACACCACTGACGTGTCGCAGCAGCGCGTGGCCCAAAGCCCACAAAAGCCCAGGGCAGCTTCACGGAGCTGTTTGGGCCTCACCCCTGAGAAACAGAGGCAGAACTGGGGCCAGGCTCTGCCCTTGCTCAGTTCGCAAGCTCAGCCTTTCCTCATCTGGGTCAACGGGCAACCAACACACTGCAGGGCCACGTCCCCATCCAGGCACCGAAGGCAAAGTGCTCCCGAGCCAGCCAGAAGCTCCCTGCTCCCCTCCAGCACCCAGCTCCAGCCCAGCTGGGGCCGTCGGCACTGGGAAGAGGATTTCATAGATTTCATAGAGGATTTCAGCCCTGAGGAAATCTGTTCTTGGTCTGCAGTGGGCGCTGGGGCAGGGGTCCCAGACAGGGACCTCCAGACATGCTCTGCCATGCCGCAGGGACACTGCAAAGGGAGCTGCTGCCCCCCAGGACTGGCCCCGCAGTGCTGCCCGTGCCCTCAGCTCCCCACCGGCCATCCCAGCCCTGCTGAGCGAGTGGGTGGGAGGAAGAAGAGGAAGAAGAGAATGAACTTCTCCAGCCCTGCCTGAGGCCAAAGTGCCTGTGAGGTGACCTGAGTCAGCACAGATCACGTTTATCTCATTCATGCCTCGGGAAAGCATTACACCACGCAATCCCCGGCTCCAAACCCCCAGGCTCAGCAAAGCCCGGTGACCCAGGACACGGCACAGTCTGCTCCAGGGCTGGGAGTTCCCGTCCCCACCACCCCAGCCAGCTGAGCCTCCTGGCCCTGACCTTTGCTTTTTGCTGAGAGCTGGAGAAAACACCCAGGCCTCGACGCTGACACAGCACCAGTGTCACCCTGGTGACTCCTGGAGAGCGAGCCTCGTCACCGCACACTCGCTGCAGTGCCTCAGGAGGGCTCCAGTCACTCGGCGGCCGCTCTGAACCCAGCAGGGTCCTCTAGGATCCCCGGCAGCCCCCAGGTGACTGCACCGAGCGGTCGGTGCTTGGGGATGGGAAATGCCAAGCTCGTGATGGGGAGCTGGGGACGGCACACGCCAGCTCCAGTGCTGCGCAGCAGGGCACTGGATGCAGGATGCACAGCTCCTGCTCAGTGCACGCGAGCTGTCTGGCCTCATCGCCTTCCCTGAGCCCTCCTCCCAGCAGCTGTCACGCTCCCGGCCAGCTTGGTGACCTCTGGAGGCTCTGCAGCGGTGCTGGCAGGGGGACAGCTCCTGCTACGTACACACGGCTCCGCAGGAAACATCTGTGCCTGCACGCTGCCAGCAGCCAGCCCTGCGGCCACAGACAGTTCCACACAGCCCCAGGGCTCGGCCACTTCTGCAACCAGGGCGAGGAGGTTTGGAGCTGAACCACACAGTGCTGGAGGACCCCAGGGCCTGGCACCCTGCCCCACGGTCAGCATCGCCCACCGGGGTGGCTCCTGCTGCTGCACTGGGCCGCACGGCACCGGGGAAATCAAACATTAACCGGGCAGCTCATTTCCAGGCGGCTGAAGCAGCACTTGGGGAAGCGGCACCCTGGTGCAAAGGGCACACCCGGTGGTTTGGTTCCTGGGCTCTCCTTGCTGTCCTCACCAAGGGACCTCGATATCGGGTGGCCTTGGAAGAGCACGTGGTGAGCACGTGGAGAAAGGTCGGGCACTGCTGGCTTTGCCAAGAGGGCCCCCAAAGCACAGCAGCTCAGATGGAGGCAGGAGGGCAGAGGAAGCCCAGTGCCAGGATCCCCTGGGATTGCCCTCCTGGTACAGCAGGAGACGCGCTCCACCAGCTCCCTCCAGCAGCCATCCCCCCTCGTCTGGTCATAATCCCTGTGGGCATACGCAGGGAGGCTGGCACGGGTGCGTCCTTGCCCTGGGGTGGCTCAACCCCATCCCGTGAGCACAGAGCAGAGGACGCCCTGAAACACGCTCTTGCCATGGGGTGGGGAAGAGCATCCCAACTGGAGGCACAGCCAGCTCCTTCCCTGCCAGCATATTTCGGTGCCAGGGAATGAGCAAGGATGAGGCCATGCCAGCTGGCACACCCGGCATGGCTTAAGAGCCCTCCACGTGTCCTGCCCCATTGTCCCCACAGCAAGCCTGGGCATCGCCCTGCCCGCAGCCCTCCCCGGCCCATGTCCTGCACGTCCAGGTGCTGCCCACACCTTTCTGCAGGGCCATCTGCTCTCCTGCTTGGTGCAGAGATGTCCTGGCCCAGCTGCCTCTCCTCTCACCCTGGAGCATCACCGCCGTGCAGCAGATGTGTGCACTGGGGTCTCAGTACAGCTTAAAAAAGATCAACATGTAAAAACAAAAGCAAACTAACAAAAAAAAATAAAGAAAAAGAGCGTGGCTGTTGCTTTCAGGCCATGCAGGCTGGGTAGCAGTGGTCATGTGGCCATTTAGAAGTTATTCATCCTGCCTCCTGCCCGAGGCTACTCCCTGCTCAGGTCTACAATCACATGAGCAATCTCACCCAAGGCCTCAGCAATATGATCCAAGTTTAAAAAAAGAAAAAAAGATTGAAACCAAACAGGATTACGCTGCTGAAACCAGAAATAGGCACAGCCGTGCCACCAGGTCACAGGAGGAAGGGGAACAGAGAAGCAGGAGGGACAAGGGACACAAGTGGCTGTGGGACCAGTGCATGCCGCCACCTCTGTGTGCCCTCGTGCAGAGCTCACTGGGAGCTGAGACTGAATAGGTTTAGATTTCCTAGGGAGCCCAGTCGGTTTTGCTGAGGCACCGTTTTCTCTCAAGGAAAGGCTGATGCAGCCTTCCAGATGTGTTTGCGAAGCCTGTCACCTCCAAGGGACAGCCAGTAACACTGTGACACTGATGGTGAGGTGGCCCGGCCGCTCCATTCCCCACCTTCAAAATGGCTTTTTCCCGGTGGCCGCTACAGACTGGAACAGCACAAAATAGGTTTAAGATTAAAGAGCTGAAACCAACCCCATCCACGTCATTTTGGTCAAACCCAGTTGTTTTGCTCTGCTCTCAACTACTGGTTTCACCCGTGGCCATTTCAGAACTGGGGACCGCAGCCTTGGCCTGCGCTGGAGCTGGCACTGCTTTGGTGCCACGAGACACCCCCTGGGGGACAGCACGCCGCCCCCTCCACACCCCAGCTCAAAAAAGTGCCCTTCTCTTCACCACCGGCCTGCCAGGGCTCAGATTTGCCCATTTTACAGCCGGGGAACTGAGTCACGGCCGATAAGGTGGCATGCCCAAGGTCACCCTGCAAGACAGGAGCACCGCTGGCAGTAATGCCCACACCTCCTTGGCAAACCTGTATTTGCCAGCGAGGAGATAAGGGGCCAGGAAGGCACACAGTGGGGCCAAAGGGGAGAGGGCAGCGGCCTGCCTCACTTCTGCTTGTTTTCTGGCAATGACTCTGCTTCCACTTGTGAGGTTTTGCATGCCCCGCGGCCACGGGAGGAGTGCGGCGCGGTGCTTCCCAGCACGAGGTTCTGCCAGGGGCAGCAAGAAGAGGAACCTCTGCTGCTCTGTCTAATTTGGGCTGGGAAGCAGGACCCTGAACCTCTCCCAAGAGCTGCTGCGATGTCCCTGCCACTCCGCAGAGCCACCGTGGGCATGGCCAGCGCTGTCCATGCCTGCTCATGCTGCAGGGACGAGCACACAGCCGATGGGCAAGCTCAGGACACACAAACCAGCTGGGTGCTAGCCCTAGCGAGCACCTCCCAAAAGGCCCCACGCACAGCCCAGTTTGCCATCTCCCTCCTCATCCCTGCCGACACCAAGCCTCCGTGACAGCGGGGAGCTGCAGGCCGGCTCCTGCATCCTCCACGCCGCGCTGCCTTTGGCGATTTATCCCCGCTCCGCACTCGGCCAGGCAAGCAGAGGGATGGGAGAGCTCCTCGCAGCAGCTGCCCGACCCAAATGCTATTTGTTTTTTTATTTTTTGGAAGCACCCTGCTGGGGTTGAGCCATAAAAACACAAACCACCAGCATGGGCCAGACCTGGGGAGCCTCTTTGGGGGATGCTCCAGCGTCCATCCACCGGGATGGGCCAAGGGCAGCACCGGGGGGAAATCTCCTCCCTGCAAGCAAGCCCCGACCCCAAACTCGAGCCAGGGCTCGGGGGGGGGTTCTCAGAGCCGAGCAGCTCCACCGGGAGACCTCCCCCCGGGCTGCCCCAAACCGGGCACGGAGCCCCGGCGGGCAGGGAGCAGGGCAGGGAGCAGGGCAGGGAGCAGGGCAGGGAGCAGGGCAGGGGCTCACCTCGGGCTTGGCCCTGTTCTGCAGCAGGTGCTCCAGGTAGAGGTCGGAGAGCGCCGTCCTCATGCTGCCGCTGCCGCTGCCGCCTCCGCTGCTGGATTTGAGCGTCATGCCGCCTCCCCACCGCGCTGCCAGCAGCCGCAGCCGGTTCCGCTGGCTCCAGCAGAGCGGCCCGGCCCCAATCCCAACCCCAACCCCAACCCCGGCCCCGCCGTCCCAAGCCGCCTCCAGCACCGCCGCTGGCCCCGCACGCTCCGCCCGTAGCGGGGCGGGGAGCTGAGGGGAGGCCGGGCCGGGCGGAGCCGCGGGGGCAGGACGGGGGAGGGCTCCCCCCGGGCCTCCCCGCTCTGCCTGCAGCTCATGGCCCTCCTGGGGTTGGGGTTGGGGCTCCCCGGGAGCCCCCCGAAAAGCCCCGGGGGTGGTTGGGGTTTGCCCGTGGGAGGCGCGGGGCCACGCGTGGGGCTGGGGGTGCCCGGGGGGTGCTGAGCTCCTCTTCCACACCGGGGGTCCCATGGGTTGGGGTCGTGGTCAGGTTTGTGTTCAGGCTATAAGGACACGGAGAGCAGAGCCTCAGGTGAAGACTGAACTTTATTTTGGGGTGGGAAAAACATTCCGGGAGATTTTTTCCTTCTTTAAAATAAGCTGAAAGGAAGAAGAAAGTGGTTCTGCGCCTGGCCTTGCCACAGCACCTCTGGGTTCCTGCAGTTTGGGGGCTTCTTTAAGCTGCACTCCGTGAAGGCTCCTCACCTTCCTGTGCTGCTTCTCCGAGCTCCTCGGCTCACCTCAGTCCAAAGCTACCCTAAAAACACAGGGAGAAGGTGGCCGGCCAGCTTATACGGGTGGCCAGAGGTGCACCCACCCACTGCCCCCTGGTGCTGGTGACAGCGGGCATTTCAGAGCGGTGACCCAGCAAGCACCGGCCCTAGAAAACCTGCCCCTGAGAAGGGGACAGCAGAGGGTGGGCGATGCACACGTACGTGAGGCAGCAGAGGAGGAGCAGGACCAGCAGGGTGATGGGGAAGACGAAGAGGACTGCCCGTGGGATGTTGGCGTAGAGGTGAGACCACACGTCTCCCAGGTAGTCTGCCAGCCAGGACCGGCGGGCACCTGCAGAAGAGGCATGTCCTGGAGAAGGTGAGGAGGACACCAGGGAAACGCTAGGAACACCAGCGCCTCTTCCTCCTGGGTTGGAATGTTTTGGGGTTTGAGCGTGTTTTGAATACCCGCCACGTACTTACGTTGGATCAACTGGTTGGAGCCTTCCCTCTCCCGTGTGTGAGGAGAGGCTTTGGCCGCATGATCCAAATATCTCCCCTGGTCTGCCACCAGCCTCCTCCTCACCCTGCCCAGCTGGGAGGAGGTGTCCTTGGAGAGATGCTGGGAGATGAGGGCGGTCAGCACGAGGAGCAGGAGGAGGACAGCGCGCAGGGCCATGGCCTCTTGCAGCTGCGCGATGATTTTCAGGCGGGCCTGGGGGCCCAGTCTTCGTCTGCGGGGTTCCCTGGGAAGCCTGCAAAATCAGGGTACAGTGAGAAAATAATGAACTAGGCTGGGGGCCTAGCAAAGTCCCCAGGTGCCTGACGGCATGCAGCACAGAGCGAGGCCACCGTGCTCCAGGCAGCACACGGGCTCCAGGCTCTTGCACCCGCAGCCTGTGAGGCCGGTTGGTAACAACACAGGGTGGGAGGCAAGAAATACGGAGAGCAAATTGAAGCCTTGCAGCCAGTTTTGGAAAAGGTGGTGGGAGGGAGAAGTGTGGCAGGAGGCAGCTGACAGACAGAAAAGGCAGCTCTGGTCACTCCCTCCTGCTTCCACACGGGGAAACTGAGGCAGGGGGAGAAATAATTTCTGCTTGGGCCACACTAGGAAGGGATTTGTGCTGCTTCAGCCCTTCCCCTGCACAGAAACGTCTGTGTCACGGGGGAGGCTGTGGTGCATCCCAGAGCTGCGTCACGCCGGGAAGAAAGCAGCGTCTGGTCTCCATTCCCCACAGGATAAATGTCAAGGGACGCTGCCAGTAATGGATGCCGGGGCTTGGCAGGCCCCGACACAGGGCTCCTGCTCAGCACAGCCCCTTGGCTGCTTGCTGGGTGCTCCCTGTTGGGCAGCTTATGGTCCCAGCTCCTGCCTCAAGGCCAGCTCACGGCCAGGCAGCGTCTGCTCACATCCGTGCCTGATTATTGTCAGAATGCAATTAAGCCAAAGGGTAATTGCAGCTCCTGCCTGGGGCTGTAATGTAATCACCGCCAGGGCCACAGCAAAGGCTCCTTGTACAGCAATGCGGAGCCAACGAGGTTTTCAGCCCTGCTTCAATCAAGCCATCAGCTTCTGATCTCCGCTGGGTGTGGGTTCCCGGATGGGTCACGCCGCTGGGCTGAGCTGCAGCACGTGTCCCTGCTTTCTCCTGGCACAGGCCACAGAGGGGAGTGTCTGTGTGCACCACCATCCCCTGCCTGCTGCGCCCGAGGGTGGGCAGGAGGGTGCCGTGGCTGGGACACCCTGCGCTTGGCTGTCCTGCTCCCACGGGACACCGAGCCTGGCTGAGTGGTTGGGAAATCATTGGCTTGCCTGCACCCTGCTCACGGCTGCCAGGAGCTGGGCAGCCTGGAAAAAGGGTTGCCTGTGGGGAAGGCCGACCTCAAGCTCTGTGTTGTTTGGCCACGAGGACGTCCTGGTTCTCCAGACACATCAGTAGCCTTGTTGTGGTTTCAGACTGAATCAGCGGCACCTAAACAGCCTCAGGTGCCAAACACTTCCCCGGTGACAGCCTTTCTGGCCTCCAGGAGAGACCAGGGAAGCGTTGTGGGACAGCCCAGCCCCTCTCCCCACCCTGGGACTCACAGCACAGGGTGCGGGCGGGCGCAGGCTCTGCCGTGCCGCCGGTGACGATGCCGCTGCCGCCGCGGAGGAGATGGCGCACCCCCCGGCAGCCATGGCCCCCTCTGCCCACAGCACCCCAGGCCTTTCTGAGGTGGCCATCGTTCCGGAAGGTCAGCCACTGGGCTGGGCATGGGGCAGAAGCAATCCAAGAACCCCACAGAGTCACTGCACCGACAGCTGCCCCAGGGAGCAGCAAGGAGGGCATTGCTGGAGGCAGCCCCAAAAAACCCCATGGTGGCATCGTGGTGGCATCAGGCCATGCCAGCCAGCACATTATGGGATGGAGATTAAGGGAACTGGAGGACCGAAGCCCAGTGCTGAGTCAGGTTGTGCAAGCGCTGCCTCCAGGCAAGATCCGAAATCCCCACTGGTTGTGAAATGTGCCCTGGGGAGGGGAGCAGGGCCTCCGCCCCCAGCCCTTATCTCTGCCACCGCCTCCTGCAGGGCTGTGCTTGTGGAAAACAAAGCTGAGGAAGGATCTCTGGGGCTAATTAATTACTAGCTGCTGGTAATGCTGACTGAGCCCCTGGGGACACTAAGGTTGAAGAAGAGGAGAAAGCGCAAAGATACTGGAAAATTACTGTTTAATTCTTCAGCATTATGCCTGACTACATGGCATGTGGTAGACGAGGGGCAGGTAGACTGATGACAAACCATCCGCCCCATCAGCAGGAGCCACCAGCATGGCCAAGGCTCCTGGAGCAGAAGAAAAAACCTCTGCTGATGCCACCAACACCTCCTGGACACACGGAGCGAGCACAGCCCTGCGGGGCCAGCTCCATGAGAGTTCAGTGTCCAGCAGGACGTGGGTCCATGGGCTGGCACTGCCCGTGCCTGGCCCTGCAGCCTCCTCAGTACTCCTGCTGAGTGTCACAGCCAAGGAACTCTATCCGCAGGGCGATGTGGTTGTGCCACTGGCGGGGGTGTATCCTCACGTAGCGGGCAAAGAGGGGTGGCTCCAGGGTGTTCATCACTGTGCCGGTGTGGTCTTGGTTTGCCTTGAAAATCTGGAAAGGAGAGAGAAAGCTGGGGTGCTGTCTGCTGTGCTGGGCTCTGGTGCAGTGAGCCCGTGACTTGGGGACACGATCAACATGGACAAGCAGCTGCTGGGAACTCTTTAGGATGAAGACAAGCACAGCTCAGCTCACTGCTGTTGCAAAAATGCTGTGAGCACATTCACTGCAAAGGGCTGAGCTTGCTGTCCCAGGGCTGCTGCGGGATGGCTGCGGGGCGGCTCTGCCTACCTTCTCCTTGCCGTCCTGCAGGACTGGGCTCCAGTGCACGCCGTTCTGGCTGCTGGAGACAGCAAACTCCTTCACGAACATGTGGGTGAACACAGCCTTGGCACCTTGGGTTATGATTGCCGTCACCTTCTTGGTTGCTTCAAAGTCCACCTGCAGCCACTCGTTGGGGCTGTTGCTCTGGGGGCAGACAGACAGACTCCCGTTAACCCCTCAGCAGCACTGCCAGCAGCAATAAGACACACTCATTGCAGCTGAAGTCAAGCTGGCCCTGCACATCAGCCCAGGCTTCACCTGCCCCATCAGGCACCTGGTTGTAGCTGCTGGGGGCAAATCCCCTGCCTGCATGCTGGCAGCCTGCATGGTGCATGCGGTTGAACCACCATCCATCATGCCTTGGCCAGCAGATGCTGCCTGCCTGGGGTCTCCCTGCGTGGGCTACCTGTGGTCTCCACGCGTTGGTCCTCCCCTGGAGGTTGAGGCGGGCCTGGGAGGGTGACCAGGTGGAGAAGACGTTGGTGCTGTGGGAGGACGCGGAGATGCGCTGGTCGGGGATCCTTCTGCTCTCCATGCCTAGGGGCATGGAGCAGCCTGGAAGAGAGAAGCAGTGCTTGTCAGAGTGGGCCCCTCGTGGAGATGCCTCCTGGCTGCTCCCTCCTCCAGCTGCCCTCTGTGCACTTCCCTGTGCCTCGCTGCAGCATCGTGGGCCCTGCACTGCTCGGTGCCCTTGTCTGCAGCGTGGCTCTGGCTGGGGGGAGCTGAATTACACCTGCCACTCCTCCAGCTTCTTTTCTCACTGCTGCCTGAGGTTTCCAGTGGTTCAGGACAAAGCCCTGTGCTCCTTCTGGTGCTGCTGCCTCTTAGACCATAATGAGGTTTTCCACCTTCGTTCCCCCAACACCTTAATGCCACCTTTTTCTCCCTCCACAACTGCCAGGGGAGCCCCGAAACACAAGGAATCGTGAAACACGCGGAGCTGGAGCACTCAGC